CACCATCACCATCTAGACACCATCACCATCTAGACAACATCACCATCTAGACACCATCACCATCTAGACACCATCACCATCTAGACACCATCGCCATCTAGACACCATCACCATCTAGACACCACCACCATCTAGACAACATCACCATCTAGACATCACCATCTAGACACCATCACCATCTAGACAACATCACCATCTAGACACCACCATCTAGACACCAACACCATCTAGACACCATCACCATCTAGACAACATCACCATCTAGACACCATCATCTAGACACCAGCACCATCTAGACACCATCGCCATCTAGACACCACCATCTAGACCCCATCACCATTTAGACAACATCACCATCTAGACACCATCACCATCTAGACACCATCACCATCTAGACAACATCACCATCTAGACACCATCATCTAGACACCAGCACCATCTAGACACCATCGCCATCTAGACACCACCATCTAGACCCCATCACCATCTAGACAACATCACCATCTAGACACCATCACCATCTAGACACCATCACCATCTAGACACCATCACCATCTAGACACCATCACCATCTAGACACCATCACCATCTAGACAACATCACCATCTAGACACCATCACCATCTAGACACCATCACCATCTAGACACCATCGCCATCTAGACACCATCACCATCTAGACACCACCACCATCTAGACAACATCACCATCTAGACATCACCATCTAGACACCATCACCATCTAGACAACATCACCATCTAGACACCACCATCTAGACACCAACACCATCTAGACACCATCACCATCTAGACAACATCACCATCTAGACACCATCATCTAGACACCAGCACCATCTAGACACCATCGCCATCTAGACACCACCATCTAGACCCCATCACCATTTAGACACCATCACCATCGAGACCCCATCACCATCTATACACCATCCCCATCTATAGGCCATATCTAGACACCATCACCATCTAGACAACATCACCATCTAGACACCACCATCTAGACCCCATCACCATCTAGACACCATCACCATCTATACACCATCCCCATCTATAGGCCATATCTAGACACCATCACCATCTAGACACCATCGCCATCTAGACACCACCATCTAGACACCATCACCATCTAGACACCATCACCATCTAGACACCATCACCATCTATACACCATCCCCATCTATAGGCCATATTTAGACACCATCACCATCTAGACACCATCACCATCTAGACATCATCATCTAGACACCATCAGGGACTGTTTGTCGTGCTTATCAATACGTTGACTTGCTGAACCTATTCAGTCTACTAAGAACCTCTTTTTTTTTTATAGTCGTTTCTGTTTCTTAACATTTGGGCTACATACATACAAATCTTATTCATCACTTCTGTTTTTTCAATAGTCTTCTTCTTTCTTCCTACTGATCATGTCTTAAATGAACGAAATAATTCTTGGTAAAAGTAATTAAGGGGATCAGGTGGATTAATATTGCTTCTCTAATAAAAAAAAATTGAAATATGGTAATCTCCCCTTCTCCGTGCTTATTTCCCTTCGCTTCGTAGGTATTTGTGTCAGTATTAAGTTTCAAAAACAGTGTTGGAAAACACTGTAAGAATGTTATATAAATTTAGAAAATAAATGTATTTCATATAAACCGCTACGCTGAGCTAAGTAAATAAAGTAATAGAAGCTGCTGATCCAAATATTTCGTTACGGTTCGCTGCTCACAGCGTGTCACTACAGTAACACATCTTTAAACAACTTCTGACACACCAGTTACACATCTTAAAACTAAGTATGACATACAAGTCGCACATCAACCCTACCGCATAACACCAACAGCCTACTGCATGTAAGAGCCCTGATATCAACAGCCTACTTTATGTAAGAGCCCTGATATCAATAGCCTACTGTATGTAAGAGCCATGATATCAACAGCCTAATGTATGTAAGAGCCATGATATCAACATCCTACTTTATGTAAGAGCCATGATATCAATAGCCTACTGTATGTAAGAGCCCTGATATCAACAGACTACTGTATGTAAGAGCCCTGATATTACCAGTCTAATGTATGTAAGAGCCATGATATCAACAGCCTACTGTATGTAAGAGCCATGATATCAACAGCCTACTTTATGTAAGAGCCCTGATATCAATAGCCTACTGTATGTAAGAGCCATGATATCAACATCCTACTGTATGTAAGAGCCCTGATATTACCAGTCTAATGTATGTAAGAGCCATGATATCAACATCCTACTGTATGTAAGAGCCATGATATCAACAGCCTACTGTATGTAAGAGCCATGATATCAACAGCCTACTGTATGTAAGAGCCATGATATCAACAGCCTACTGTATGTAAGAGCCATGATATCAACAGCCTACTGTATGTAAGAGCCCTGATATCAACAGACTACTGTATGTAAGAGCCCTGATATTACCAGTCTAATGTATGTAAGAGCCATGATATCAACAGCCTACTGTATGTAAGAGCCATGATATCAACAGCCTACTTTATGTAAGAGCCCTGATATCAATAGCCTACTGTATGTAAGAGCCATGATATCAACAACCTACTGTATGTAAGAGCCCTGATATCAACAGACTACTGTATGTAAGAGCCCTGATATTACCAGTCTAATGTATGTAAGAGCCATGATATCAACAGCTTACTGTATGTAAGAGCCATGATATCAACAGCCTACTGTATGTAAGAGCCATGATATCAACAGCCTACTGTATGTAAGAGCCATGATATCAACAGCCTACTGTATGTAAGAGCCATGATATTAACAGTCTACTGTATGTAAGAGCCATGATATCAACAGTCTAATGTATGTAAGAGCCCTGATATCAACAGTCTACTGTATGTAAGAGCCCTGATATCAACAGTCTAATGTATGTAAGAGCCCTGATATCAACAGCATACTGTATGTAAGAGCCCTGATATCAACAGCCTACTGTATGTAAGAGCCACGATATCAACAGCCTAATGTATGTAAGAGCCATGATATCAACAGCCTAATGTATGGAAGAGCCATGATATCAACAGCCTAATGTATGTAAGAGCCATGATATCAACAGTCTACTTTATCTAAGAGCCATGATATCAACAGCCTAATGTATGTAAGAGCCATGATATCAACAGCCTAATGTATTAAAGAGCCATGATATCAACAGCTTACTGTATGTAAGAGCCCTGATATGAACAGCCTACTGTATGTAAGAGCCCTGATATTACCAGTCTAATGTATGTAAGAGCCATGATATCAACAGCCTACTGTATGTAAGAGCCCTGATATTACCAGTCTAATGTATGTAAGAGCCATGATATCAACAGTCTACTTTATCTAAGAGCCCTGATATCAACAGCCTAATGTATGTAAGAGCCATGATATCAACAGCCTACTGTATGTAAGAGCCATGATATCAACAGCCTAATGTATGTAAGAGCCATGATATCAACAGCCTACTGTATGTAAGAGCCCTGATATCAACAGCCTACTGTATGTAAGAGCCCTGATATCAACAGCCTACTGTATGTAAGAGCCCTGATATTACCAGTCTAATGTATGTATGAGCCATGATATCAACAGCCTACTGTATGTAAGAGCCCTGATATTACCAGTCTAATGTATGTAAGAGCCATGATATCAACAGTCTACTTTATCTAAGAGCCCTGATATCAACAGCCTAATGTATGTAAGAGCCATGATATCAACAGCCTACTGTATGTAAGAGCCATGATATCAACAGCCTAATGTATGTAAGAGCCATGATATCAACAGCCTACTGTATGTAAGAGCCATGATATCAACAGCCTACTGTATGTAAGAGCCATGATATTAACAGCCTACTGTATGTAAGAGCCATGATATCAACAGCCTAATGTATGTAAGAGCCTTGATATCAACATTCTACTGCATGTAAGAGCCCTGATATTACCAGTCTAATGTATGTAAGAGCCCTGATATCAACAGCCTACTTTATGTAAGAGCCATGATATCAATAGCCTACTTTATGTAAGAGCCCTGATATCAACAGCCTACTTTATGTAAGAGCCCTGATATCAACAGCCTACTTTATGTAAGAGCCCTGATATCAACAGCCTATTTTATGTAAGAGCCATGATATCAATAGCCTACTGTATGTAAGAGCCCTGATATCAACAGCCTACTGTATGTAAGAGCCTGGTAGCGTCGAGGTTTTGGCCGATTTCATAAGGGCAGATAATATTCGTATCATTTATTTAATTAAGCTAATTGTGGCTAATTAGTCGCTCTAGTCGCAGGCTGCTGCGCGGGGGTTATCCCACGGACATGACGTCACATTACAGGTGGTAACCCAGTTTTGTGGTGCCGCTTTGTGACCAACTGATTTATTCGTGTGATCCCATTTTTTAAAAAGTTAATAACATCATCTGAACTGCATCTTTTAATTGATACTTTAACTCACAAGGGTAATTTTAAAAACACCAACATTAGATTAGTTAAAACAGTTAATCGTCAAGTCTCGAGTTCAAACCCTCTGACAGATAAGGCTTGATTCCTCCCAACACTAAAAATTAAGAACGAAGAAGAAGAAGAATAAGTTAATCGTCATCGAAATTCCGTTTAAAATTCCGACGAATGGAAAACTGTTGACCTTCCTGTGTGAATCTGTATTCCACCTCATCTATATTAATATATATATATATATATATATATATATATATATATATATATATATATATATATATATATATATATATATATATATATATATTTGTATGTGTGTGTTGTTATGGGTCAGTTGTAGGTTAAATTAGAATAGGTTGGAATAGTCTGTAAAGTAGGGGAGAGGCGTGTGTGAGTTGAGTTTACCCCGGGGTGTTTATGTATTGTTATCCCAAGGTCGAGTATTCAATTCAGATTTACTTAGCCAACCTCACAATAGAGTTTTGAGAGTCATTACAAAAAATCATCTCTTGTCTACGTTCCAGTACTCACCATCACGTGACAGGTGGGCGTAAACCATGAAGAGGACGGCGTACCTTGTGATGGTGGGGGTGACCTTCGGCTATCTGGTCATCGGCGCTGTCGTCTTTCATTACTTAGAGAGCAAGAACGAGGAGAGCATCAAGATCCAGTTTACAGACGAGCATGAGGCCTTTCTCAGTAAGTTCTGCTTGCTTAATTCAAGACGTTTCAAAGTAAGTTCTACTTGCTAAATTAATGACCATCACGCGTTTCCCCACCATTATGTTGCCAATTACTACAATTGGGCCTGTAAGAGTAAATTACCAAGTTCTCAAGTTGATACTTGCCAGCTAGCGTTTTTTTCTCTTTCAAACCTAATTTGAACGTTTTTATTAAATCGGTAAAAAATAAATAAACAGAGAAGTTGTTTCCGCTATTGTTATTTAAATCTCAAACAATGATAAATCAATATACTCACAGCCACAAAACTTTTATATTCAGGAATGCATGCACATATTATATTTGTTCCACCCCATATGAACAAAATAGCGTTGAACGTTTTTACAATTGGTTGCATTTTGGGAACTTTTGAAGCGGAGCCGCCATGTTTTTGTTATCAATGGGAATCCCGTTCACAACAATTGATTTAGTTCGACAATTTCCTCCGGGCTAGCGAGAGACAACGAGAACTTACAAGCCCAGTTTCTGCAATGTTTTTGTTTACATAAGGGTCGTCCATGAATGACGTCACACTCTTAGTGGAGAGGGGGGTCCGTAATTTTGTGACGGTGTGTGATGAGGGGGAGGGGGGGGGGGGTCAGATGGTGTGGCGTCACTTCTTTGCATTATAAAAAAGCAATGTTAGAAAACGAGTTTTAGCCGTTATTTCGCGTTTTAGAAAACGGTTTTAATAAATTGTAATAGGAATTGATCGAAATACTCTGTGTTGACAGATTTCTGACAAGATTTTGGGAAAATATCGATGTTTTAAGAACATTCAACAGCAATTTTGAGGGGGGTTGTAGGCTGAGGTGTGATGTCATTTTAGGGGGGGGGGGGGTCTGGCTGTTTGTGACCGCGTGAGACGGAGAGGAGGGGGGGAGGTAAGAATCGTCCAAAAAAGCGTGACGTCATTTATGGATAAACTCATAAACAACAAAGCGATGTCATCAGATAATCCAAATCACTAATGTTCCCGCCAGGAAACAACACGTGCCTGACACCGGAAGTCCTGCACGAGTACGTCATGCTGGTGCTCAACACCCAGGCCAACGGGGTGGCGGTGGGGATGATCACCCAGCGGAACCTCTCGGCCAACACCTCGCTGGACGAGGAGCTGGAGGAGTCGGGCACCAAGTGGGACATCGCCTCCTGCGTCCTCTTCTGCATCACGGTCATCAGCACTATCGGTAGGTCAAGTTTCAGGTCTGCATCACGGTCATCAGCACTATCGGTAGGTCAAGTTTCAGGTCTGCATCACGGTCATCAGCACTATCGGTAGGTCAAGTTTCAGGTCTGCATCACGGTCATCAGCACTATCGGTAGGTCAAGTTTCAGGTCTGCATCACGGTCATCAGCACTATCGGTAGGTCAAGTTTCAGGTCTGCATCACGGTCATCAGCACTATCGGTAGGTCAAGTTTCAGGTCTGCATCACGGTCATCAGCACTATCGGTAGGTCAAGGTTCAGGTCTGCATCACGGTCATCAGCACTATCGGTAGGTCAAGTTTCAGGTCTGCATCACGGTCATCAGCACTATCGGTAGGTCAAGTTTCAGGTCTGCATCACGGTCATCAGCACCATCGGTAGGTCAAGTTTCAGGTTGTTCAACGCATTCACTAAAAGGTGAAGGTCGAGATTGGTTTAGTATTTACCAACATTCATCTAAAGGTAGGTCAAATTTGAATTAATTCACCAAGTTCAGTAACAGGTGGTCAACGAGATTTGTTTTGTATCTACCTATAGTTCACCTATAAGTAGGTCAAGGTTTGTTTAGTAGTAGTCTATAAGGTCACTAATTAGCCAAAAGCTCGCGAAACTTGTCAACTTGAATGCATGACAAAGCCAGTTTTTCATTACTAATACTGAGCGGCTAATTATTATTAATTACATTCAGCTAATTGTAGACGGTAGAGACGAGTGGTGTGTACTAGACCAGGTAACCAGGTCATGTATTGATTCAGGTAACTGTGTTGTAACACTCACTTCAGTGTCTTTGTTAGCAGACTAACGACAACTTCTTATACATCTATGTAAGCTGTCTGGGCATTAGAAGGCTTGATACATCTAAACTTTACTCTAGACGCTAAAAGACTTGATACAGCTATATATACTATCTTGTCGCTGAAAGGCTTTATACAGCTATACATATTGTCTTGGCGCTAAAAGACTTGATACAGCTATACATACGGTATTGGAGCTAAAAGACTTGATACAGCTATACATACGGTATTGGAGCTAAAAGACCTGATACAGCTATACATATTGACCATATTGTCATGTAGCAAGGTAATTTGTTCAACAAATAACAGCCAAGTGATAACTAAGTTATTTAACATTTATAACATCAATATATATCGCGAAAGAACCTTGAAACAACAATAACTGTACTATGTTGCTTGTAAAAAAAATAAAAAATAAAATTTAAAAAGTCAAAATTGTTTTATGCATTTCCCGAATTAAATATTAGTTTGTTTAAATTAGCTCTAATTAGCTGTCAGATATTAATTAGATCGAAATGACACCTAACGTATCTTTCGTTTTTTTTAACGCCTGTTACCTGCCACGTTAGAACTGCAAGCGCAATTAATTTAAATTAAATATATTCTTTGATTTCTTTTGAAGTGCGTGTTTGATTTAAAAAAATCTTCTCCCTAAAATAATAAATGAATTTAACTGACTGTATATCTGCTGTTGTACCCCACTCATCATTAGACTTCAAGAGTAGGCTACTCGCTCAGATCTGTAGTATCATCTGCTTGAGGACGCTTGAAAGAACGATTCTGTTCCACCTTTTCATTTTGCAATGATACGAAAATAACGCAACTTAATGCAATGATACGAAAATAACGCAACTTACTGCAATAACTTACTAAATGGCTAAGCTAATCCGAATAAAAATAAACCGGGAGTGATCTCCCCTAAACTTTCTCGAATATTCTTATATAAAATAACAGGGGATGGGAACTCGGGCTATAGACATGATTTTTAATCCATTTTAAATACTTAAAGTTTTAAAAATAGAATAAAATCTCGTAGACAAATTAATTGCACACCAAGTGAACGCGAAATAAAAAAGCGCATAATAGTGCGCAATATTATTATTACTTTTAAAATTTACATTAGTTTTTTGAGAAATCGGAAGTAGCGTAAAGTACTACTTCCAGTCAACGGAAATGACTCAAAATTTAATAGAAGGTAGAGAATTAGATCTTTTACTTACGTATGAAATTTCATTTATCTATCTGAAATAGTACTCAAGTTATAGGCTTTTGAAAAATTCAAAGTAGGAAAAGTACCACTTCCGGTTATCGGAAATCGCTCAAAAGTTGATACGGATCTACGATTTTGATTAAATACTTATATATGAAATTTCATCAACCTAGCTGTAACGGTACTCAAGTTATCGTGTTTACACACGGACACACACACACACACACACAGACACACAGACATACGGACAAGATTGCAAAATTATGTTTTTCCGTATCAGTGAGATGCAAAACGTCGAGATTTGCAAAAATCTCGATTTTTTTTTTTTGCACGATTACAAGACTTTCTCTATACTTCGTATATACGAGAAAGTAAAAAGATCTAGTTGCTAACTAAAAGACAGGAACAAAGCTATAAAATCCATGCACTGGCAGTAAATTCAACCTAGTACCAATAACGTATCAGAAGGACATACACGTTTAAACTATTGTATTGTTTACTTAACAGTCTTGTATGGCATCGTGTTGTCATAGCAACCTTACAAACATACCCTGGTCCTTACTTTCACGTGGACGAGATGTTTGTTTAGTTTGCTGGTTTTTTTTTTAAACTGTGAAAACTATTAGCATCCGTTTGATTTACATTGGATAAGCATGGTCTTGTGGGAATCCATTGGATTTACCCTGTATCTGTTTGGTGTGGAAGATATATATATATATATATATATATATATATATATATATATATGTGTGTGTGTGTGTGTGTGCTGGTGCGTGAGTGTTTGCGTGTGTGTGGCTGTGCTGGTGTGAGAATGTCCGTGTGTGTGTGTGTATCTTTGTGCTGATATGTTTGTGTGTGTGCTGTGTGTGGTTGCGTGTGTATAGTGAGTGGCAGTGAGGGTGAGTACTTAAATATAAGTTGTAGGCTTAATCATAGGGAAACAAACGCCTCAGGTAAACGATTGAGAGATGAGAGAAGTATATAAAATAAAACTTTGAAATATCTGTTATGACTAGTGTTGCACATTTCTCTTTCTAATCTTTTACTATTAAGAAAACTTGAATGGGGGGGGGGGGCGGTAGGCTATATCCCAGAAATTGTAGAGAGGCGTGGCATTCTACTTTCTGTTGTAAGTAAATGGAGTGCTGCATGTATTTGTTAAGTGGTTCTCTCTATTCGGTGCATGCACATGGAGGAATGCTTTTGTTCATCTCCAGAATAATTAGTGGGTTTTTTTTTCTTTACTTGTCTTCATTTTTCTCATTGGGTCTATGCAGACGTTTTTCATTTTTCTTAAGGGGGAAGGCTGTAGTCAGTGGCGTAGATGGATGTTGTTATCATCATTTCTCTCTCTCTCTCTACACACTCACTCACTCAAACACACACACACACACACACACACACACATATATATATATATATATATATATATATATATATATATATATATATATATATATATATATATATATATATATATATATTCATATATTTAGATTTATATGAAAAATAATCTTACCTACGTGTGTTTGTGTGTTTTTATATATGCTTACTTACTAAAATATATAAAACAGCCAATATTTATAACCACCCGAACACTCTCTTGTTAACGCCTCTGGTTGTAATGTGCTAAGCTCAGCAGTAGCAAGCGACAACATAGCGATAATCCGGCGTCGCTCACCAGACCCCACCCCCTCCCGCCCTCCCCATCCATGTTACATAACACATCACGAGCATTAGAACTCAGCCAACGTTTGGTAAGAAGAGTGACATGTAAGTCATGGAATGTAAAAACAATCCGAGAGATAGAAGCCGCCATTGGACATTTGGTGAGTAGATCACGAAGACTTGTTAACAAGAGAAACAGATTATCCTAATCTATGGCATAGGTCAGGGTATTATTGCACTTACATAAGGCGGAATCCCCAACAAACGAGAAGAGTATTTTTGAACTGATTAAAACTCGTTGTAAAACATTCTTCAATAGACAGCTGCCATTTACCCCCCCCCCAACTCCCCTTACCTTTAATACTGGTACTGCCCGTCATGTACAACGCAAACGAAACGTAATACATAAATTATATTTTCTTATCTAAAAAAATAGATGTCTGTTGAATAATTTAATTATAATTCCCATTAATTCATTCCATTTTAATTAAAAAATGACACATGGCTAATTGTTTCACGAAATATTAGTCTGCTGAGTCCACTGATTAAAAGAGTTGTTTTTTTAATTAAATAATTAGGTTACAAACATGTAATATATGCAACTAATTAAAGTAAATAATATCGTGACTTGTAACGTAGAATAAGTTTGTGGTGGTGGCGATTTGGGTTTAAATAAAATAAGTTTGTGATGGTGGTGATTTGGGGTCCAAATAAAATAAGTTCGTGATGGTTGTGATTTGGGTTTAAATAAAATAAGAATAAGACGAACTTATTTTCATAGCTAATAGAATGTGGTGGTTAAAAAAAAAATAAGCCTACACCAAATAATAAAACACACCTTAAAAATACAAACCAACGAAACGAAATTAATTCGTATAGATTTTTCTTCCCCATGGACATTATGATTGATTACCGCCCTTGAATCGGAGCATGTAATTTTAATTACAAGACATGTAATTAGATAATAGTCTTACAGCGATGCTGGTCTCGTGCGAGCTGTAATAACAATCTTATTATCGTTCGTTTTCCAATTATCAATGAGCGGGTGGGGTAGAAATGAGATACATTAAATCTGTTCACCACGCAATGCTGGTATTTCAATAACTCTAGAGAGTAGACAGTCTAGAGGGTTAGGTGAAGTACAGAGCACAGGCTGAGCAAGCTAGGATACAGACATAAGAGGGGGGAGAGGGAGAAATTATTCTGGGAGTCCGATCTTTTAGTTTTTAAAAATTAATCTTTGAAATAATTTTGAATAAAGTCTAGCAGTAAATTGTAAATTACCTACCCCCCCCCCTTGCTCACAAACTTCCAGCTGTGTATAAAAGCTTATACAAAGACATCGAATCTACTAGACTACTAGAATGTAGGCCTACGTCTGCTGGAAAAAGTCTTATTCCCCTGTTACATGATTTGTGAACTGCTTCGAATAAAAATTACGTTACGTTTGTTTAGCTGTACCTACATATGCTTAAGCATGAAGCCAGAGGCGTAGCGACCCTACCCGGGGACAAACTTTTCGATTTGCACCCCCCCCCCTCGAACTTTTCATTTGCACCCCCCCCCCGCCTCAAACTTTCAATTTGGCGCCCCCCCCTAAGGTCGGCGCCCGGGGACATATGTCCCCCCGCCCCCCCCCCCCTCGCTACGCTTCTGCATGAAGCACAAGGAGTGGATAGCGATACTTAAATGTTTTAAACCTCGTTTCGCTTTTTTTTCTTAAGACCTAGGCTGGAAGTTGATGCCAGCTAGTGTTAATCTGCGTTTCTTTCAGACAATTTTCTCATGGGTGGGGTCACTTAAAACGTACAGGGATTGGGGAAGGAGGGGTTGGGGAACGACACTGGTTAAAGTATATATTTTCTGTATAAATATTTATTCTTCTATTGGACCGGTGCCAGTGTCTCTTCCAGATTTTTTTCTCCGGGGGGGGGGGGGCATATTCCCCCCCCCCCCCCAACATTTTACGTTGGGGGCGGACACTGGTAAAAGTATGTTTTCTATAAAAATTCCACTTCGTTGGGGGGGGGGGGGGAGTAGACTTTCTTTCTCTGCCCCCCCCCCCCCCTTCCCCCGAAGAGATGCCTGGAAGAAACTCTGGTGGGGGCACATCTGGCGGTTGACGTGTGCTCGAAGAGGTGCATCCATACAATCTATAACATAACTTTTTAAACATATAAATATTATAAGAATAAAGCGAATGTTTTCCTCTGATTTCAGGGTACGGAAACATCGCCCCAAAGACCAGTGGCGGGAGACTGTTCTGTATCTTCTACGCTGTCATGGGGATCCCCATGTTTGCTGCGGTACTGGTCGGCACGGGCGAGCGTCTACAGAAACCAATCAAAATGGTCCAAAACGGCAGACCGTGGATCAAGAACAATCCATCCAGAGACGAGAAACTCAAGTCCATCGTTCTGTTAACGCTGGGTACGTTTTGTAGCTGAGGTGGGGCGTGGGTGCTCTTTACTCCGGGTTACATTCCATATGTAGGTATGTTTGATAATGTAAGTGCGCAGACCACATTAGGTCAGTTCTTATAAAGTTTAATTAAATATGTAGTCCATATAGAGTACAGAGGATAGAGACTTATTAGAAAGACTACCCTAATACTACCGGTAGTTGAAATGTTTTTCTTATTGATATCCAAATTAATTTGAAAAATCAATGTTCACCTTGTTACAAATAAATAAGACCGGTACTTGAAATGTTTTTCGTATTGATAGCCAAATTAATTTGAAAAATCAATGTTCACCTTGTTACAAATAAAAATAAATCAAGATAGCTGGGATGATCGTGTGCAGGTAAATAAAAGAATCATGAGGTACTTTGTTGCCCACATGTAGGCTATGTGCACAGCTGTCGGACAGCCTCGATGCAGGGGTTTAATTGCTCGTGGGAGGGGTGGGATTTAGCTGCTGTATTACAGGCTACGTTTCTGTCTTGACTGATGTTAGAGTTTAGTTGTATGGAAAAAAGAGCTTTTATTCTAGTAATCATAGAGTGAGCCAAAAATAAATGTACTCGTTTAGTAAAACCATCACCGTTGTTCTCTTCCCCCCCCCCCCTCCCCCTTCTACACGCACAAATAAATGTGTGCGAAAATACAAACCTTCAGCAGTATTGTAAGTAATGTATAGGACTACGCTTGATCAGACAAACGCCACTTCGACACTCACCTTTTTGCGGTTGAGTAGGTTTCTAAAAAGTAAAACCCACCCGAACATTAAAATACGTTCAGGCTATTTAAAACCCAACGATGTTGTTAAATCACCTATTTTTGTGTGTGCAGTGCTTTAAAAGCCAAACATTTGGCTCATGTTTTGATGTTTGGCTTGTTGTCAATAGTCTCGTCTTGCTGGCGCTAATTTGTTTCGATGTAGAGGCTGGACATTCGAAAACATTCAAAAATTTGTTTGAAAATATGTTTTACATAGCAAAATGTGAATTAAACACGGAGGGGGGGGGGGGGGGTGTCGTTGTTTTACCCACAATTCAACTATAGGTGTAGCTGTCCTCGTCTATCTTCTATGTGTGATTGTCCTCGTTTATCTTCTATTCTATGTATGATTGTCCTCGTCTATCTTCTATGTGTGATTGTCCTCGTTTATCTTCTATGTGTGATTGTCCTCGTTTATCTTCTATGTGTGATTGTCCTCGTTTATCTTCTATTCTATGTATGATTGTCCTCGTCTATCTTCTATGTGTGATTGTCCTCGTTTATCTTCTATGTGTGATTGTCCTCGTCTATCTTCTATGTGTGATTGTCCTCGTCTATCTTCTATGTGTGATTGTCCTCGTTTATCTTCTATGTGTGATCGTCCTCGTCTATCTTCTATGTGTGATTGTCCTCGTTTATCTTCTATGTGTGATCGTCCTCGTCTATCTTCTATGTGTGATTGTCCTCGTCTATCTTCTATGTGTGATTGTCCTCGTTTATCTTCTATGTGTGATCGTCCTCGTCTATCTTCTATTCTATGTATGATTGTCCTCGTCTATCTTCTATTCTATGTAAGATTGTCCTCGTCTATCTTCTATGTATGATTGTCCTCGTTTGTCTGCTATGTACGATTGTCCTCGTCCATCTTCTATCTTCTATGTATGATTGTCCTCGTCTATCTTATCACCGTCGTTCACTGCACTATGATTGTTAAAGTCTTACAATCTTCTGTTTCAGGTGTGATTGTTAAAGCCTTACCATCTTCTGTTTCAGGTGTGATTGTTAAAGTCTTACAATCTTCTGTTTCAGGTGTGTTTGTTAAAGTCTTACCATCTTCTGTTTCAGGTGTGATTGTTAAAGCCTTACCATCTTCTGTTTCAGGTGTGGTTCTAATTGTTTTTATCCCAGCCGCCGTGTTCACCAAAACCCAGAAGTGGAGTTTCCTGGAGTCGGTCTACTACACCGTCATAACGTTAACAACTATTGGCTTCGGAGATCTAGTGCCAGGTAGAAACAAAACTAAATATTGCTAAACCTGTGTAACGCTGCGTAGTTTAAGCCTACAAATCTCTTGCTGGCCTGAAAAAAATCGATTTAACAACCACATTGGAAAAACGTAAAAAAAAAAGATCTCTTTAAAAAAATTCTTTATTGTAAGAACGCAATGAAGAGACAACAATAGAAATTCAGACTAATTTTTTTTTTAAATGAACGGTCAAAGAAGTGTGCAGGCACGTTAATACCTGCATTTAAAAATAGCATCGGTTCTCTTACGTTTAGTAGTGTTTCCATTTTTATTTTTTAAAACTAAAGACAAATAACACTTATTATCAAAGTGGCCCTCTATAAAATACACAGCGCATTTTTAAAATCCATCTCCCGTTTATATGTTTCTTGTCCTGTATACACTACCATAAATATTAAACTGTGGTTCACATATTATTTTATTTTTTCCCTCAGGTTACTTTGACAAACCAGGTATGTATCGGTAGTTAGACCACACTTGTAGCCAAACTAACTGTCTAGAACAGAGGCGTAGCGAGAAGGGGGCGGGGGGGGGGGGGGAGACATATGTCACCGGGCGCCGACCTTAGGGGGGGCGCCAAATTGAAAGTTTGAGGGGGGTGAAAATCGAAAGTTTGCAAATGAAAAGTTCGAGGGCGGTGCAAATCGAAAGTTTGTCCCCGGGCGCCGGGAGGGGTCGCTACGCCTCTGGTCTAGAATTAACTTGTTTTTAGCTAGATCTAAGTTCTCGTAGGTTAGAGAGTCTGATGTTAGGACGAACTCAGTGTAAAACATCAGAGTTGACAATATTGATATGGTCTAACAGAAACGGTGCTTTGGGTTTTTATCAATTCCGAAGAGTACAGAGTTATGTCTTCTAGTGTTTCATTCAGGCATCTCTCCGGCCCGGGGCATTCCTTGACCACGCCCACCACCCACCGGACGAAATAGGAGGCAAAAAATTATATTTAAATAAATAATATATAGTGCATAGGCTACTTTAACAATTGTCCTTTTCAAGTTCCCGCCCCCGCTTCGGAACAAAATCTCTGAAATAGATTCTCATGTCTTCCATGCCATCTATATATATAATTCTCCTCTTCGAGCCGTTAGAAAACAAGCTGCAAACGCTCTCCCTACCTCCCCACCCCTACATGGTTTTAGTGAGCTGTGTTCACTCTAAATGTTTACAAGCAGAGCCAACGATTTTAAACGTAGGGGGGAGGGGGGGGGGGGGGGTTATGGTCCTTAACGAGCTACTTATAGTGTTTTAAAGAAATATTTTCAGTGTCAGCGTTGGTACTGTCGAATTCACAAATTATGAATTATTGAAAATTAGAAACAACTAAATAGCGGCGTATGTTATGCCGCGGGCCGGCTCGTACCATATAAAGGACGAGTTTGGGACTTTAATGTACTAACTAGATTATCCTAAAAGACACCTGCCCTCAATGATATAATAAATATAAAATATTTGGTGCTTCGCATTTACTTGTTGCCCTTCTCCCTCTTTTGGTGCCTATACGGCTATCGTATGCCTGTAAATTATAGATGCTTGTAGCATTTAGGAATCTAGATCTGTTGCATTGATTATAAGGCCTAATAATTCACATCTGTACACGCCATAGAGACATTACGTAAAGGGCGATAATCAGAAATGAGTGATCTGTAAGCCGGTCCTTGAGTTACGCCATAAAACATTTTGGTGAATTTTCCCCACAAAATTAATGAACAAGAGATATAATGATTAAACAAGCCTTTTTATTTTTACATATATCATTTTAAGGCGAGCTAAAGTATAATTGATTAACAAATTTTGATAAATAAAAGAAGTAGAAAAATATTTTACAAGGGAAGTAACTCGGATAATTAGGATTTTAAAAGAAAATGCAAGAGTTGTCTCCTTTGAGTTTTTTTTTTTAAATCCATATAAATAATTAATATTCTCGTCCTTACTTTAGTTGGTTTTAATAAAATTCATATGGTGAAAAAACACGTTAAAAATAACTGACGACATTTTTTATCAAGTGAAAGGCGAAGTCAAGAGATCTTACGTGTACAGAGTTATATTAGGATTCTGGATTCTTCTGGGCATGTCCTGGGGAGCCTTAATACTGAGTGAAATAGGAACAATGCTTCAGGTAAATTTTGATATTTAAATAGGGACAATGCTTCAGGTAAGTTTTGATATTTAAATTGGGACAATGGTTCAGGTAATGTTTAATATTTAAGCAGGATCACTTATATTTTAGTTCATTAATTTAAAAATCTGAATGGATTTTAGAAATAAAGATTTCTAAATTATAAACACAGTGTCCTTTCTATAAAATTGCAGTGCATTGTTCATTTAAAAACTTTAAAAAATAGTTTATTTGTATTAAAAAAAATTGGAATTATATTATGTCTACAGTATATTATAGTGTTATTAAGATTTACAAATAAAGAAATGTACTCCATATTTTGTACTTAACTTTTATGACTATGTTTACATCCAGACAAGGATTAGCACTGCAGCCAGTCAAACACAAAACAAACTAAGCCACCTGGAGGGTATAGTCAAGAAAAAAGCAAAAGCTACAAAGGATAAAATTATTAAAAAGGTATGGCAAATTCAAGTTGAACTGAGTTTATCTTACTTTTTCTAGTTTCAGTATAATTTATCATGCACAGTCATTGAAAGTCATCCATACATGATGAATCCCTTTTAATTTTTAAAGCTGTCTTTAACTCTCTAACCTCACAAAATACCCCCCCCCCCTTTTTCTAATGACATCAGGCTGTTTTATCCCCTTTCCTTAAGGCAAACATATTGTTGCCAAAAATGTATTTTCCATAATTTTTGTCCTTTAGATAAATAGAAAAATAAATGCTACGCGCGACACACTTTTACTCCCTCCCCCCCTCCTTCACCCAGGATAAAAATGTCATTCATGGATGACTCATTGGGAACATTAAGGGGTCACAATTCTTAATTTACAGCTTTTTTAATTTTTTTAAAAGCCATATTTTAAAATAAAAGGGGAAAAGAATAAAAAGAATAATGGTAATACTTTTTTTTTTTCAAATAATAATCCTGTGCAAACAATTTTATCAAAGTTCTCTGTGTGCAGTTAAAAAATAATCCATGAACAATTCTGACCAAATGGTATGTTTGTACTTTAGGATAAAGATGTGGATTACTATGCTACAAAAGACCAGAAAAATGGGTCTCCTGAGGTAGAAATAATCAGCACAGATAGCCCTGACTATGATGACAAAGATGAATATAACCCTACCAACTCAGACACTGAGCTCAATTTAGTTAACAAATAAGTTACCATGGCAACATAGTCCTGGACCTTTCCAATTTGTCAAAAATTAACTGAAAACTCATGGTTTAAAGTACATTTTGTCACTTGATCTAAAGAGCTTGATTAATTCTTCCAATCACAACATTAGCATCTCAGACTAAGTGTTTTAAAACTGTTTGTGTGGTTTTTTAATCCCCTTTTTCATTTTATCTAATGGACACCATGTTTAGGCATATCATAAATTAAATATCAAATCTTTTTTATACAAGTTTCAACGTTTCTACATTTTTTCCAAAATGATAAAATTTGCTTTTATTGTATATGTGCCCTGCTCTATGGTTATATAGCCACTAGAGTTGTTTCAAGATGAAGGATATATGTTCAGAACTCATAGATCTAAGTGTAATAGTAATGGCCAGAATACTTAAATTATTTTTAAAAAGCTCAAGTGAATTAGCTATCTACTGTATGATTGAAAACTATAGCTTTACTTTAGCAGCCACTGAATTCAATATTGAAGATATTTGACAGTCACATAAAACATTCATACTGACCTAGTATGTACTGCAGATAAATCTGCTTCAACCCCTAGCCTAACCCTAAGTTTTTCACACCTGTTAAGTATATTTAATATGAACCACAGAATAAGAACAAATAGATGTGGGCAAATAGTAAAACATAAATTTTACTTATTATCTGTTAACCAAAAATTACCATTTTTCTGAGCTCTATGTTTTTTATAACAAGTTAATTATGGTTTGGTTTATTATTTAAATTTTATTTCTAATTTATTGATTTTTTAGAAATCAAGTTGTAGGCTATTTGTTTTGGTGGATGTTTTAGATGTGTGCTTATGAAATCAAATTTCTGTACTTAGCTGGTGCTGGAGTAACAAGTTGTTATGGAAATTGTTGCATGATCGTCTTTATTTCTTAAACAGCTTTGAATAAGGAGCTAATTCTTAAGAATATAATCAAAGAAAATGTACAATAACAGCAAATAAGTAACGAATTTAAGTCTACAGTTTCTGTACTAAATATGTTGAAATATGATAAAACCTATATGTATTAGATCTTTTTAAAATTCAGCTAGTGTACATTATTTGCTAAAGATGACTAGAGGCTGACAATGAAATACTTATGTCTATTCATAACATTTACTGGCATTTAAGTATCACTATGTACTAATGACATTTCTATTGGCTGACACTAAAGTAGCTATGTGTCATCTGTCATAGCAGTGACTAGCACTTAAGTTCTAATGTGTATTTCTGACTCAAATGTCTGCGCAGTATTAAAAAATGAGTTTTATCTTTCTTGTAGTTTCTCCCATGACTGCATGTACCTTGTAATTTGGCTGGTTGTTTTTTAAGTTTAAGGTTTTACTGAGTAACTAACATAACAATAACAAAATTAAAGGGGTTTTTCTTTTACATAAAAAAGAAAATGTTCTTATTATTTTTAAGATTTCAAATGTAAACTGTTAAAGCCATTAGAAAAAAAATCATTTCCATAAACTTTTGGACCTTAAAACAATGTGTGCAGCTAAAAATATCTTTAAAAATGTAGGAGTTCAAGTTTTTATCATTATTTTATCTTCCACCGATTTTGTCTTCCGTAGCCTTCAGAAATTGTTTTAAAATCTTGCCAGGTTTCTGTCACAACATATAATAATTAATATACCACCAGTAGATACCACAAGAGTTTATTTGTTTGGTTTGATATGCAGTAGTTATAGACAAGAGTGATAAAGATTCTATCTAGTGTGGTTTAGATATAGTCTTTTGTTCTGTTGTGTTCTAGAATAGCTGTTGGAGGATGCGTTGGTACATTCTGTTTATGCTAGCTTTTCTGCCATCTGATAAAGTTTCAATAGTATTTTTAAGACAACAAAAATTCACATTTACTTGCATAAACAATAAATAGCAGTGATAAGAAGTTTTCAACAAATACACAGTTTGTTTTATGAATCCTTTTGCAACAAATTTCAACAAATATTAGAAAAGCAAACAGCCAGTTTTTTTTTTTTGCAAATGTTGAATTTTAATTATTTTACAAATTCTAATGACATATTTTTTGCCAAAATATATATTTAAAAAAAGAGAAGCAACCTTTGCTTGCAGCAACAATGCATCCATTTGACCTAATTTATATTTTACATATCACTTACATAATTTTACAGACAAGGTCAAAGAGCTGTGAGATCACATCCTTTCAGAAATACTGAAAGACAATGGGAGAAAGATTTTAGGTATAAATCTATGTTGCTCATAGTTGTGTCACATGTGATGTTGCTTTACATACAAGGTAACAAATCTATCTCAATGAGCACGGGAACTATCCCTTACTTTTGTATGCCCTACATAATTCAATTGTTATGCATATTTTAATTCCTGAATTTAAACTTCCTGTTTCTGTGGAGGCATGACTACCTTTAAATCTTTTTTGCTGAGTTGCGACTCAAATTGTGCTATACTCAGTTTCAAGATTTTCTGTAATGCATTGTTATGGCTAATTTCTTACAACTCCAATTCAAAAAAGGAAATATATAAAGATTGATATAGCACTGAATGTTTTATTAAATTATTGCAGCAAGAAGAGAAGTTTGTTCATCAAACAACTAGATTATTGAGAAAAAATTTTAAAATTAAATACACTAAAATATATTAAAAGAAAAAAATCATAAAATAAAAGAGCACGGCCTGCCATTGAAATTTCTATCTCTTTTACTTTTGCTTTCAAACTTAAAAAAATATGTTCGACCCCGGTCAGCACATCTGTTTGGATGAAACAGATTGTTTTTCATTTCACAGTTAATTCAAAAAGTTAATAGGCTATCGGAAAATAAATAAAGAATTAGTAAACTATGGGAGAAAAAGTCTAAAAATGTAAAGAAAGATAAGATTCATTCTTGGATTCATTAATTGTTTGTGAAGTCTTTTATAAAGGCTACGCATATTAATGTTTCTATTTATTAAGATATAAAATATAAGTAATCTGAAATCTGGTTTAGCAAATAAATATTAAAGAATGTACATAATCTCTTCCAAAATGTATTACACCATATTATACTGTAATGAATATCCTTTTTTGTAAACCATCTCTCTTTGTGCAATCAACTGTGTTTTGTAAGCACAATTAAATGTTATATAGTCTGCAATATTAAATCTCAAAAAGAATTTATTTAATAACTTGAGGTTCAACAATATGCTTATGTAATGTAAAATTACAATAAAAAAAGAAAAATAGCTTTATCATTTGATGGTAGGAAGATATAATGTTCTTAAATTTAAACTTAGTGTTTTAAAAATTTGTATTTTAGCAAGCAAAACATTTGAAAAGGCTTCAAATAAAAATGTTTTATTAAATATAAATTGAACTGTATGTAATGCCTTTACATCATCGTGCCTTGTGCGTCAAATGTCTTACACGTACAGTTTTCCTGTATACATTAAAATATTACTATTACTTTTCTAAGTTCTTAGTAATTTTGCTGTGAGCTTTTATTTGTCAATAAACTTTATTTTCCTGAGTGCATAAATATTTCTCTTAAGATGTGAATGTTCATTGTTAAGTTTTAAAATCCTTAATATAAATTTTTACTCAAAATTTTAATATGTATTTATTTTGTAATAAATTATGACCATCACAAAAAGGATAAACTTATTTTTGTACTAAATTTTTAGTATGAATAAAATAGATCTTATATTGTTAAGCATTAATTGTAGTTGTTTGGCTTTAAACGTATTTTGTTACACCAAGTTATTTAAGTGAAAAGGGTAAAATAGAGCAGTCACCATTAGTTGATGCTTTGAAATGTTATGCTCAACTTGAATCTTTTGGTTTCAATACCAGTGAAAAATAGCTAATCCAGACCTAAACTTAGCCCCAAATGTAATACTCAGTATAGAGACCTTGATTGTGTATGGTGGAATATTCAGGATTTTGTGGGAAGGGGGGGAGGTTCAAATATTTTTCTAACATTTATGCATATACACAGTTATAAATATATAGTTATACGTGTATATGTATATATATAAATAAATAAATATATAGGCATATATATATATATATATATATATATATATATATATATATATATATATATATATATATATATATATATATATATATACATCAATGGTTATAAGTATGTAAAAATTGTGGTTTTCTGACATTTAAAATAACAAAGTGTAAGCTTTGATACAAGCACAATGTTAACTGTAATTGTGAATTTAAATAGCATAGTGTGAAACAACTGTCATGCTTGTGTGTGGGGGGGGGGGGGGGGGGGGAGGGTTGGTTAATGGAGGAGTTGGGTACTGTAACACCACTTCTCCCACCTTCATCACTTCCTTCTCTGTGTCTAGTAGATCAGAATTGTAGGCCTCAGTGTTTTTCTGTATTTTGTTACTTCTCAGATTAATTCTTTTGAATGAACTTTATTTTCAAATGTACATTATATTTTTTAATATGATGAGCTAATATTTAATATTAAGTAATAAATTAATATTAGGCTTATAGCTTTCTCTATACAATAGGGTATGTGAGTTTCTGTGATTTAATTTAATTTTTTTTTGTGAATATATAAATAGTTGTTTATATTTTATATAATGTATTTTACTCTTACAGCACAACAAGGTGAATGTAAATATGTTGTGTATTTTATATCACTGTTTTATACTGGAAATTCTGGATAGGCTATTAAAAACAGTCAAAGTCTTATACAGCAAAGATAGACATTTGTTTTTAAACTTTAAGGACTATGTTTGGCACACTTTTTAGTGAACAAACATGAGAAGCAGGCATATGTAGGCTAAAACGTATTTAATTCAATTATCTGCCTAGTCAGTTTGTCATGTTTGGTGCAGGCATTGTTTTCAATAAACATCTCTGTTTGGTTTATCTGTTTTTGAATATATGTTTTATTTTATACTAATTTATACCATCATGGTTTGATAAATTTTCATGTTTAATGTAAATGTTGCCAATTTGTCTCTGTTGCCAGATTTTTATTCTCTACTAGCACAATGCCAAACCTAATTCCGAGTAAAATAAAAACCTATCAGTAATGCCACAGCTTTTAAAATATTTCTTCTTGCCTCTTCATTATCTCTAATTTTCATGCAGCATAAAAATGTTGAATATTAAAATCTTAAAACTAAATTAAATTGTCTTTTTAAAAATGTGTTTGTTTAGAAAAATTGTAGCACAATTGTAAAGTTGCAGAGATTAAATAAAATAATTGCTGTTGATTGTCATACAAAATCAGAACACCTTCCCCTACTTGAATGCCATCATACTATTAATTACTACAACATTTACTCTAGTAAGGACAGTGCACCTCCAGAGAACAATATCTAAACAGTTAAATAAGAGGGAAAAATGTTATTTTCTACGTAGTTAAAGAGTTAATTAGCTCATTTCTACACTTCACCTAAACAGTGGCAAAACTGGCCTCAAAACGTTGTCCTAAACCATAAAGTATCAGACACATTTGACAGTGGATGGTGAAAAAACGACAGTTTCAACTTTCAAGGTAAAACTAAAATCAGAATATACTTTCATCTATTTTTAATGAACAACAACATGAAGAGAACAGCTATAATATAAACTTTCGTTTTGAATAGGTCTGACATGGTATGTAGACTGTAGAGAGCTGAAAATAGATTATATTTTTAAGCAGTGGTGTACTTACATTTGAAGTAATACGAAGTAAAGCACCCTTTCAAGACTATCTACCCATGGGTATAAACGAAATCTATAGTTTACATATGTGTAATATATTCGCTGAGAATAAGTGAAGATTTTAGGCTATCTTAAACATTCTTCAGAGCAGTGTTTCTTCGAGACATTTTTCTCCGGGGGAGGGAGGGGGGCACTTGAAATTTTCGGGGGCGGAATAAAATTTTCGGGGCGTGGGCGCACACTGTTAAAAGTATATATTTTCTATATTAATTCCGTTTCGTTCGGGGGGGGGGGGGGGGGAATCGGTAGATGCCTGGAAGAAACTCTGATTCAAAGTTAAGAATAATCAAAATGAGGTTAAAAAATGAAAAAAAAAATAGTTCGATTAAATCAAGCTAGGTTTTACCTTTTAACCATGTTTATTGACTTTAAGTGGTTGTCCCCTGTTTTGGTTTTTTTGATGCCCCTGGTTATTAACATGGTGCCCATTGTTGGCCCGTTGGTGCCCTGTATTGTGCCCAGCACTCTTGCCCAGGTTGCCGCCTTTGCCCTGGAGGTACAACGACATGTTACAGATACACGCGCTTTGTCATTTTTAATTCCTTGTAATTATAAATAAAAACAGAAAGCTGATTGTGAGAATGGATCTTGTACATTTTACCTGCATGAGGGGTCATCCATAAATGACGCCCATCTTTTATGACAATTTTTACCTCCCCTCCACCCATTATACATCGTCACAAAAAGCCAGACCCCCCCTAAAATGACGTCACACCTAAGCCTACAACCCCCATAGAGTATTTTAATCAATTCCTATCAAAATTTATTAAAACAGCTTTCTAAAAAGCGAAATAAAGGCTAAAAAGTGTGACGTCATACCATCTAACCCCCTCCCCCTCATTACACATGGTCACAAAATTACGGACCCCCTCTCCCCTACGAGTGTGACGTCATTTATGGACGGCCCCTGAACGAATCAATTTTGCTACCACTAACTACATAGGATTAACATTAATGTGTTTCCGTTCTCCGGTACTTTGATTGTGTGTGACAGAGATATTTGCCTTTAATATAGACAATTAGCTGGACTGCTAACCGGTAAGTCTCGAGTTCGAATCCGGGTTCAAGTCAGTAGACCGTCCCAGAGTCCACCCAACTCTGATGGGTACCTAACTCACGTTAGGGAAAGTAAAGGTGGCTGGGCATAGTGCTGACCACACTATCTCTTCATATGCCGAGGTCACAGAAACAAGTGAACTCTCAAACTGTTATATAAGGGACGTGATGGCATCACGGAGCTTTTAGAAGTCCAAAGGAATTCTAAAGAATCGATGCTCAACCCACCTTATTACACATGTTATTTAACTTTGTATTTCGAGTTATGGGGATTCTTTTTTTTAATTAACTAAAAACTTAAATTTGATGATAACAAAAACATCTCAAATGTCTTTAAGTTTTACTTACTCTACCAGTTTTACACCAGATAGAGAGGACAAAGTTAAAAAAAATAGATCACAGCCAGTTATCCTCATCATTTGAAGGCTATTTATCGCCTTATCAACTAAATCAAGTAAACTTACAAAGTAAAGATACGATGTTACAATTATCCCGTAGTGAGCAGTAAAGGACCACTAACAGATACAATCTATAGATAGGCTAGTCGTCCAGCTGTTAGACCACCAATATCTAAAGTACATTAACCCTATTCGCGCCACCAATATCTAAGTTACATTAACCCTATTTCAACCATTTATATCTAATTTGCACTAATTATATTATTTAAGCCGCCAATATCCAAGTCACAATAACCCTATTCACGCCACCAATACCTAATTTACATTAACCCTATTCACGCCACCAATACCTAATTTACATTAACCCTATTCACGCCACCAATACCTAATTTACATTAACCCTATTCACACCATCGATACCTAACTTACATTAACCCTATTCACGCTACCAATACATAACTTTCATTAACCCTATCCACGCTACCAATACCTATCTTACATTACTCCTATTCACGCCACCAATACCTAATTTACATTAACCCTATTCACACCATCGATACCTAACTTACATTAACTTATAGGCCACCAATACCTAATCAGCATTAACCCTCTTCTCACCATTGGTTCCCAAGTTGCATTAAAGCCTTATCCAGGACACTAAAAACTAAGATAATCGACCAAAATGTTCTCGCCCGTCATTTGGCCCACGACACACGTAAGATGTACTCACCTTAACGACACACGTAAGATGTACTCACCTTAACGACACACGTAAGATATAGACTACTCACCTTACCGCTAGCTGACAGTACTGGCACACTGGCCACAGCACACGACACACGTAAGATGTAATCACCTTAACGACACACGTAAGATGTACTCACCTTAACGACACACGTAAGATGTACTCACCTTAAAGACACACGTAAGATGTAATCACCTTAAAGACACACGTAAGATGTACTCACCTTAAAGACACACGTAAGATGTACTCACCTTAACGACACACGTAAGATGTACTCACCTTAACGACACACGTAAGATGTACTCACCTTAACGACACACGTAAGATGTACTCACCTTAACGACACACGTAAGATGTACTCACCTTACCTTGACACTTAAGATGTAGACTACTCACCTTACCACTAGCTGACAGTACTGGCAAGCTGGCCACAGCCCACGACACACGTAAGATGTACTCACCTTAAAGACACACGTTAGATGTAGACTACTCACCTTACCGCTTGCTGACAGTACTGGCACGCTGGCCACAAGGACCATTAGGACAACAAGGGAAACGAACAGTTTGTTTGCCATGACGACTAAAGGAATCAACTCCACTAATCAAACATCGCATTCTTTTATACCAAATCTACTTAGATCGTATCTTTAATCTTTCAGGGCCTGTCATTGGTCACTCGTTAATGTCATATGATATCATCGCTGTCAGTATGTTAAAACTCTAAAATGCATATTTGCATTTGGGATTATTTTTTTTACAGTTTAAAAGCGCTGTAATCAGGTTAAAAAAAATAAAAATAAGCTTTTGAATTAAAATTGTCTTATTTAAATGATTTATTGGTGCACTGATTGCTGTGATAAATAAATGTATTCAGTGACGTAAGTAAATTACTGTCAAGGTTGGCGACCTGCAGGGCCTACGCCAGGGGTCTCCAAACTTTTCAGTCCGAGGGCCGCATTAACTATCAAATTTCAGTTCGGGGGGCCAGTTTCATCCGGGCATGTATTTGATTTTTCTGGGCAAAGTTCCTCGGCCATCACCAACAAACGTTTTTTCCGTGGACAAAAAGATCTCCGCGGGCCGGATGAGAGGACGTCGCGGGCCGCAGTTTGGAGACCCCTGGTCTACGCTAAGGATACAAAAAACATGAAGCGTTATCTTCGGATTTTGTGATCCATTAATACTTTGCCTCAGGCATGTATACACGGAGAGAAATTTTGGTCAGTAAAAATGACAAACCTGAAAAACAACTAATTTTCAAGCCTTAATAAAGAAAACAACAATGAATAGCAAGACTTTTCAGTTGCTTAAATAAATGGGGTCTTAGGCCTACAAATGACTACTAGTTACAAAAAGTTTATAATTTGTACGGAACAAATAGTATCACTGAAAAAAAAAGGTATACAAAAGCTGCTTCGCTGTAATATCTAGTAGGCCTATACGGTTGAAATTAACTAATTTACAGAGCAGTTATGAGAACGCCCGAAGCACATAAAAAAAAAAAACAATGGCGTATCCAGGTTTTCGTAAAAGGGGGAACGACGAGGACACCAAAAAAAAAAAAAAAAAAAAAAAAAAAAATTTAAAAAATAACTTCAAGCGAGAAGCAGTTTATTTTAACTTTATAGCAAACTTTTATTGAAAACCAAACGAAAAAATCACGACTTCGTGTTAATATTGAAAGGGAGGGCACAGTGATTACTCTAAAAGTTATTTTGTTATTTTTTTTCTATATATGATCAGCTATGTTTTGTTGCTTTAATATTTTTCCTCACTTGTATTCTCTTTGTAGTAAAGCGCCGCCATACACTTTAACTTAACTATAGAGCAGGGCTAGTTCAAGCCAGAGGCGTAGCGACCCTTCCCGGCGCCCGGGGACAAACTTTCGATTTGCACCCCCCCCCCCCCCCCTCAAACTTTTGATTTGCACCCCCCTCCAACTTTCAATTTGTTTTCCCAACCCATTTTAGCCCCCCCCCCCCCCCCCCCCCCCCCCCTAAGTTCGGCGCCCTCCCTCGCTACGCCTCTGGTTCAAGCTAAAAACTTTAGAATTAAGTCTAAGTGTTGAAAAACTGGTTAACTGTAGCACAAAATTCTTTTGAAAATGTATAGACTATAGACCTATCTCATATCTACAGTATGTACCCATATTATTCTTTAGATCAGAGGTCTCCAAACTTTTCAGTCCGAGGGCCGCATTAACTATCAAATTTCAGTTTGGGGCCAATTTCTTCCAGGCATGTCGTAATTTTTCTGGGCAATGTTCCTCAGCCACCACCAACAAACGTTTTTTTCCGTGGACAAAAAGATCTCCGCGGGCCGGATGAGAGGACTTCGCGGGCCGCAACCGGCCCGCGGGCCGTAGTTTGGAGACCCCTGCTTTAGATGGTTGGATTGTGAATTGTGAAAGATTTTGATCGTTTTCGTTATGCAAAAGTATTTGACCTGACTAAAATGCAAACCGCGAAATAGAGAATGTATAAAGTGTTTTAAAGCTAAGCGTATACTATAAATGAGTAGCTTATGACGAAATAAGGGGTGTCCATAAATGACGTCACACTTGTAGGTGGAGGGGGGTCCGTAATTTTATGACGGTGTGTGATGAAGGGTAGGGGGGGGGGGTCAGATGGTGTGACGTCACACTTTAGCATTATAAAAAAAGCAATGTTAGAAAACGAGTTTGAGTCGTTATTTCGCGTTTTAGAAAACGGTTTTAATAAATTGTAATGTGGATTGATTAAAATACTCTATGTTGACAGAGTTCTAACAAGATTTAGGAAAAAATATCGATTTTTTAAGAAAAATTCAACTGCAATTTTGAGGGGGTTTATAGGCTGAGGTGTGACGTCATTTTAGGGGGGGGGGGGCCTGGCTTTTTGTGCCGATGTGCGACGGAGGGGAAGGGGGGGGGGGGGGAGGAAAAATCGTCAAAAAAACGTGACGTCATTTTTGGATGACCCCTAATTCAGAAAACTTTTAATCTATTATTAATTGTCCCACCGTGTTAATTACTTAAGATTATTTAGGCAATCGCTATATTATCCCGTTTAACATTTATTTAAAATACTTTTCATCGTCACCAAATTCAGAACATAGTCTCCCCTCTCTTTACGATTCAATTGTGGATCGAGAAAAAAAAATACCATGAATCATGAAGTGGAATACAATGTAGATGTAGATCTCTAGAGCTAGATCTACATTGCTTTCTAGCGAGACCTGAATAATGAGATAAAAGCAAATCTTAGGAGGCGAAAATCTAGACATACATTTTTAAATGTTTTTTAGATCAAGGGCACATTTTTTTTTAAAATGTGAACATAATGAAATAAAAGAAAGAGTAAAAAAGAAAAAAAAAAACACCAACAAATAAGTAGGGCCTAAACAAAGTATTATTGCATATATCAATAAATGGACCATTTTATTTTGCTATTAATTGTAACAAAATTAACTTCCGTGTTAAGGGCTAAGAAGGGGGAGTGTCTCTGTTTGTTGTGTTGTCTCTTATCAAAAAAGTAATATAACTAGCCTAGTCTAGATTTACCTTTTTTAATTTATTAAATTTTAATTCAGTAAAAATTGAAGGATTATTTAACTTAATTTAAGAAATAATTTGAAATTATGATAAGCACAATAATAATGATATGTAATGTGTGTAGGCTAGATCTACTGATGCTGATACTGATACTCAGATACTGATACACTACACAATAACACAAGTGAAGTACACAGTACTACACACAGTGTTTGTGTATTTGAAACACTATATTACTAGAACAGTAACAGTGTAACACTCACACTGTGTGTGTTTTGTTTTGTGTGTCACTCAACTCCTGTGATGTGTGTGTACTGACTGAGTACTCACTGAGATGTACTCCAGTCTCCACTGACTGTCAGTGTACTCACTGTACTGTGTTGTAGTCCAGGCCACTGTCTGTAACTCAGCTGTTTGTGTGTAGCACTAGCAGACTAGCAGGGTTGACTCACAAAAAGTCACAACACTCAGTATAGTTCATAATAATAGTCATTACTCATCATTACTGTTACTGATTACTGTTATTGTTCAGTCAACATTCAACAAACTGTTGAGCGCAAAATACTTAAAACATCACAATACGAATCACATGTGATTAAATTTAGTCTTTCTAGCCTAAGGCCTAATGCAATTAATAATTAGTAACAGCCATTTGGCCTTTTAATTATTAATAATAATAATAATATTATCATAGTATGTTACAAATATTTTAATAATACAATGAATGGTACTACACTTGACCAGAGTAGATCTAGCATTAGAATTGGTGGGCATGTAGATTTAATTTGAGATTTAAAATATAGCCCATTGTGATATTTTCATGGGACCTCACACATGAGTAGGGGTTAATTTTAAGCTTGTCTTAGTAAACAACAACCAATAAATAAGGACATCAAAGCCGGTAAATGGGGATGGATTGGACATATCATGAGAAGGGAAGAATATAATAATAATATTGCAAGGAAAGCTATGGACTTGAATCCCAGGGAAGAAGGAAAGTGGGCCCTCTTAAGAAATCAATGAGAAGAATGGTAGAAGAAGAGGCAAAGGCAACTGGGGGAGCAGATAAGAAGAGCCGCCCAAAAGGGAGTCTGGTGGAGAGGTGTGATTGCAGCCTTTTACTCCCCAGGGGCCACAAAGTGAAAATTTAAAAAAAAAAGTCTTAGTAAATTACTTGATGATGTTCTGCAAATGTATTATTTTATACTTGAAAACACTTAGTGAATTTTATCCTTAGGCTACATAAATGATAATTTTTTTTTTAAATAAACAAAGTAGAACTTGATTGCACTGTATACATTGCACCAGTTTTGAGTCAACATGGTCAAATTGGACAAGTTATTAAATTAGCATTATTGTAAATCTCAAATAAACACTTAATTAGAATTTTTTAATTATCTTCTTGATTTACATAATAAAAAGCTCTATAAGCCTAAATAATTTAAATACTATGTATGCCTATATTATCTTGATACAGATTCCACCAACCATTTTCATTGAATTATAGGCAGACACTATTTTTATTTTGCTTTTATCATAATTTTATTCTTTATAAATATTTCCTCAGTATTATTAAAAAATACTTGCCTGGAATCGCTGCAGCTTCTAAAGCATGGTAAGTTAAATATAATTATATTTATAATATTGAATTCTGTTTAATGTTCGTCTATGGGTATTAAATGTTTCAAGCTGATACTTTTTTACTTAAATAATTATATTTAGGTATATATGGTCTATGGCTCCTTTTGCCTCGTGAGTAAAAGGAATTTTGCGCCTAGAGATTACGATGTTGTTTTTTTTAGTGCAGGCTCTGCTGTGGCTAATCATGCCAATTTTAGAATGGAAATCTCTGCCACATTTAATGCAGATCATTGTTGTTGTTATAATTTGGGAAGATTTTTTCTTCTTCTCCTCTTTGAGGCTACCTCTGCCCTTTTTATTTCATTGAGGATGACAGCGTGCATAGCCTGTGTTTATATATGTCTGTTTGCCTCAGCTGGATGGTCCTTTGGGTCTTGTACCATTGGTAAGATCTCCATAGAGGATGTCTTTTGGTATTTTGCCATCAGGCATGCAGCTTACTTCAAAATGATCCCCATCTGCCCAAAAAATTATATTAATCATTCATAAAAAGTAGATGTTTTACCGGTGAGCATAGATATTTGGTGCAGCATGATATATTATAAATAAAATAAAATGAGGCCAAATGCAGTAAAACTAGGAGCGATTTGTACATTGAGAAAATATTTTTTACTTCAGTCTTCAAATGTTAGTGTATGTGACATGTCACCAGAAGTTGTCGCTCTATTGAAGAAGTTTAAACTGAGGAAGGAGAAAAATGTTGCTGCTATTGTATGTAAGTGGGATTTTCAGTTTAGTTTCATTACAAATCCTTTTAGATCTAGTTATTAAAATTAATTAAAAAATATTAAAATAGTTTTTATTCTAAAAAATAACTTTATTTTGTCAAGAGTCAAACAGTAAACAAATTTTTAAAATTTCTCTTTTGTAATTACATTGACCCATTTTTTTCAGTGTATTCTGTGGCCTTACAATTTTTTTGTGTCAATATGAAAATAACATTGCTGATTTGTAGAATCCTTTGGGTTTGGAAATGAACATGTTTATTGATAGCATTCTTGGCTCCCAATCTAGAAATTTGTAGTCTATTAATTTCCCAACTTTTTTGCAGTGAAAATAGACAAGACATCCTTAAAGATAGTACTGGATGAAGAATATGAAGTAACTTTCATTTATGTTCCCTAATTAATTACAAATATGTTAATGGAGTTTTTGCTACATATATTGCAGCAACCAGATCTTTCATTTGTTACAGAAAATACTGCTATATCAGCGTTATGCTATCCCTAAATACATAATTTTTCATTGACAGCACAGATTTTTCAGCTGTAAGCTAAGAACTAAAGATATATTTTTAAAATTAAAGTAATGACGTGATTTATGGAACATTTTATGTACATTAAATGGTTAACAATGTTTGTTTTGAATTTTTGACAGAATATTTCTGTGTCAGATCTTCAAGATGAACTACCACCCCAGCAGCCCAGATACGTCTGCTTGAGTTATGTTCAAAACCATGATGATGGCAGAGTCTCTTATCCACTAATTTTTATTTTTATTTCCCCACAAGGTTAGTTAGTCCTAAGCTTAAATTTTGAAGGTTTTCTTATCTAGCTTCCTTGTTAATTAGCATGATATTAAACTAAGAGTTCGAACATTGTGAAATTTCTTCTTGATTTATTTCTTCTTCTATCCCATTTTGGCAATCTCCTTTGTTGTCTGTCCCATGCCATCCTCTGTGCATCCACCAGTGTTAAACCCAAACTTTCTCTGATATTGTCTTACCATTTTTTTTCTTTTGCCTGCCTCTTTTTCATTTGCCCGGTACTGCTCTTAGTATGAATATTTTTGCTACTACTGACACCTTTGTGAGATGTATGTATCATTTTTGTTTCTGTTTCAACAATTGTCAAAAGGTCTTGATAGAGACTAATTGAGATTTTTTATAGTTTAATTGGATCTTTTTAAAAATATTTATAAGGGATATATATATATACATGTTTCAATGTCGTTTAAAATAAAATAAATTTTAATAAATCACCATTCTAATTAAATTGCACATTTTAGTTTAATTATCTACATTTTTAACTGAAGTAATTATTAAATTAGTCCTTTTTCTCTTTTGTTCTGCACACAGTAAACTCAAACACTTCATTATTTTAACAGATCCAATTTAAATTTTGTATGCATCCGATGAGTAAAATTAACAAATATGAACCCCCTTTATCTGCGTCAAAATCTTACACTGTTTAGATGTTTTGATCTTCCTAACATAAAAGGATAAGAGAAAAGTATGCCACAATCATAGCCTATTAGTCATTGTAAAAGTTATTTGGCTTAGAATATTTGATACACAAAAATAAAAGACCAAATAAACTTGAGATAAAATTACACAGGATGCAGTCCAGAACAGCAAATGATGTATGCTGGATCTAAGACCAAAGCTGTTAAAGACGGAGACTTCACGAAAGTAAGAATTTTTAAATTTTTTTGTGTGCATATTGTTTTGGATTTTTTGTTGTGATTTACATTTTTTAGCTAATGTTTGCTATTCTTTATAGGCAGAGGCTAATATTTGCTTTACATTATAGTAGAATAATGTATAATCCTACTAAAATATTTTTTGAAAACAACATTTATTTGTTACTAAAATGAGATTGAAACTTTAATCAGTTTAATTCTCTTTAAGGTGATTGAGCTGAGAAGTCTGGACGAGTTAACAGATGAAACAATTTTAGACAAGCTAAAAAAGAAATAAATTTTATACTTATTTAAAAAGCTGGCACCAGCTTGTTTAACTTAAATGAAATAAGAATTGGCGATTTTCACTGTTGGCTTGTTATTATTTTAACTTGGTGAGCAATCCAAATGTGCATGCATTCCATGCAGTAAATAGTACAGTTCAGCTTCACCTAGTTATAAGTTTACAGAAATTTCATATCAGTTGTCAGCAATGAATAATTTTATCTTGTAAAAATAAATTAAAAACTGGTTTAAAACAGTTTTTTAAAATCATATTTAAATTTTTTCAATCATCATTTTTAGATCAAAATTTTTAACGCTGAGGTTTTTAACACTTGATTGTTTAAGTTTACCATCTTTATTAAAACTCAACATTCTGCTTTGCTCATAATTAAGCTGCTGGTTATCAAACCCAATTTAATTATTTAAATATTTTATAAAAGAAGTTTTTCTGATAAATTTCAGTGTATACAACTTATTAGTACTCTAATGGAGAGCAATATTTTTGTATATTGAAACCATTACCAATTTTTTATCACAAGCTATTTATAAATAACATTTTTCTTCTGTTGACATTTTGACATTCTCTAATAATGCCTATTCAAAGCTTGCCTTATTTCTGTGTAAATATTTGTTTCAATTTTTAAGAATGTATAAACTTACAATAAATTATAGACCTATATGTATTATTAGTTGCTATTTCTATTTCTAATTGCTGAAAAAATGTTGGTGCTCATTACCATTTATTTGTAATCCATTATAAAAGCATCGAGATAAATAAAACAAAACAAAAGCTGTGATATATTATTTTCTTTAAATTTTTATGTTAACTGATTTCTGTTTGTGAAAGTTAAAGTATAGTTTTTATTGTGTTTATATAATAGATAGATGCTTAATTCCACCATCAATACTAATTCAGAACAGTTAAACTTGATTTAAGTGAAGTTTAAAATCATGATTCTTTTTAATATGTATCTATCATTTTCTGAACTGATATATATTGCAACCAGTAGACTTGATTGTTTGCAAATTAATAAAGAAAAAATTCTTGAAATTTTGCATGCGATAGCAAAAAGTGTAAACAAAAACTCATGTTGGATAACTTTAAAAAAAGCTTTTTTTTAGGTTTTTATACTTGACCTATATAATAATATTATGTATGTTGATGTACATAATTGTAACAGTTTCTATGACTGATTTGTTTAACTGTTACCTGTTGCTGAAAAAGCGTATCTTAATAACAGATCCCTTTCAAACGTGACAGTCTATTTGGCAGGTGAAGTAGAGTTCATGTTTCATTTTTTTTTTACCTCAACATATGAAAAGATAGTGTTGTCAGCACTATGTTCAGCCGCCTTTACTTTCCCAAATGTGAGTTAGGTACCCATCAGAGCTGGGTGGACTCAGGGATGCTCTACTAACTTAAACCTAGATTGAAACTTGATACTTTTGGGTTAACAGTCCAGCACCACACTGTCTTCCCCAACAACAGTTAATCTTTTAAAAAAATTGAAGTACAGATTTTCTTCACAATCATTTTTGTGAACTGTTTATTATTGCTGTTACAAATTATTATCGTTTGTGTCGCGTGTTTAAATATTTATTAGTATTAATTAATCATCATCTTTTCACGTTAGTACCCAAGACACATGGGGTGGCAGGTGAAGTAGAGTTCATCTGTTTCAAAGGTATCAACATATGAAGGGATAATGTGCCCAAGACACATGGGGTGGCAGATGAAGTAGAGCTCATCTGTTTTAAAGATATCAACATATGAAGGGATAATGTGCCCAGCTGCCTTTGTTTTCCCCAATATGAGTTAAGTACCCATTAGAGCTAGGTGGACTCAGGACTATTCTACTGACTTTAACCCAGATTCAAACTCAAGACTTATGTTAGCTGTGTAGCTCTCCACTGCTAGGCCACGCTGTCCCATAATTACTAATAGTCAACCTTTAAACCTAATGTTTATTTTGTGCATTCACATTGCAGCTGTATCTCATTTATACCAAATGATGACTCCTCTAATTGAAGTACTCACACATAGCTTTATTCTGTTTGTTAAATTGACGATAATCTGAACTTTAAGCATGATATTTTGATAGCTTATTTAGTTCATATATAATTTTTTTTTCTCACTATTTTTGTTGTCAAAATATGGGACAAGTAATAGCCTTTATAAGATAATGTCTCTGAAAACATTTATAATAATTTAATGGCATTATATATTAAGTTTTCTTTAGTTAATTAAAACAACCTACATGCAAAACAGTAAAACAAAAATCTAGAATTTATTAGTTTATTCACCCGTATGTTAAAAAACTTAAAACAATTCAGAAATGCATGTGATGGTTAAAATGAAACAACAGCCAAGGACCATAGCTACCGCTTTAAAAAGAAGCTAGTATTTAGACACAGCATTATTCACTTGCATAGTTGTGTGGCCTGTTGTTAAACTAAATTTTAACCGATTACTTTTGTGTGAGTATTTTGATCGTCTATTTGCCATTTAAAATGGTTCACACATTATATTTGCAAGTAAATAACACAAAATAAAACTAAAATAATAAGGGTGGGGGATAAGTATAAAATTAACATAAACAGTACAATTTAAATAGCCTCCATAAATGCAAAATTAATAGAACTTATTGTCTATAAGACTAATTTTTAATGTGACTTAGTAAGAATTACACAAATAAGTAAACCTTAAAAAATTAAAACTGACTTTTAAACAACACAATGAAGCAACTATTTTTAAAATGTTTCATTAAAAACTTTTAAGAGTCACAGTAATTTACAGTACTTTGAAATACAAGAGTTTTGTGACATGACTTATTTCAAAGTATATACACTTTATAAAACGATCATTTTGACATGCAAGTTTACAGATAGAATTGTACCACTGTATCTCTTTGGATAAATAACAGGATAAAACTTATTGAAAATACTCCACAACATCACATATTTCAAGTGAATTTTTTTTGTACACTTATTGATGTCTGCAAATCTGTCAATTTTGACTTGATGTTTTAGAAATAGATTTTATTTTAAACAAACAAAAAGGCACAGAGCAAGTGTGACTAACGTTTGTTGTCATACATAAACATGAACAATTATATTTTAAAAAAGCTTTATTTTAAGGGAAATAAGTAAACTGACCAGATAAGCAATTGCTGGGTGTGTTTTGATTGGTACATATATCATGTAATCATTCAGGATGTAACAAACTACATCAATTTTGAAATATGTGTCAAGACATTGAAACAATAGTACAAATATGTGACAATAAAAAGTATAAATCTTTTAGAGTAATAAATCTTGGAATTTTGAAGTAAAAATACAAATCTTAATAGCACATTTGGGTAGTAAAAAATATGTAGAAGAAAAAAATCTGTATTGACAATAGCAGAAATGTGTTTTTGATTAGCATTTAGGAAGAATTGAGGGTTCCTTTGGATACAGATATCACAGCCCACTCCCCATTAATCATCCAATCTTTATCAGTCCTTGTTAATTCACTAGCCTGGCCTGCAATCAAGCCAACTACCACATCACTTTTTAAGGTGCGAAGGACACACAATGGCGCAGGGCCGAATCCTCGAAGACTGTCAGAAAAGTCTGTCTGTGTGTCCCATTTTAAATCGCCCACAAGCTTTCGGTAGTTCAAGTCACCTTTGAAAAAAATGAAATCTGCATTCCCTAAATCAGCATATAATTTAGGATACAACTCCTTCATCTGGCTGTAATCATTGGGCAGAGTCCAAAAATCATTGACCTCAACTACCCAGGAACCTTCCTGTAACCGAGATCTCCATTTATGGCTGAGCTGGCTGATGGCCAAGTGATTCATAGAGGACATCTGTTTCAGGGTCCACATCAAGTCCTGCTCAGTGACATCGGAGACAAACCAAGGAATGGCTTTGACATGAAAGTGGATTCTGGATGCCAGACCGGCTGAAACCAAGAACTCTGCCAGACAGAGGTCTGTGAGAAGTTCAAATCCTGCATTGTCCAGCACAAAATCTACTCGTCCTAAACAAAGTAAGAATAAACATGATACATTTTCCCAGTGTATTAATTTATCTTAAAACAGAAGTTCAAAAGCATGAAAAAATTCACAATCAATTTTCAATACAGGAAACTGTTAATTAGTTTAGACCGCAGTTAATCATTGGGTGGTATAATAAAAAGAATTTTATTTAAATAATTCCAAATCCATGACAAAAACCTATGACAAAAATGACAAACCTGGTTGTCCTCCTCTAGATATGCAAGCTGTGTGTAGGATCTGAAATGCCTCTTCTGCTTCATCTATCAGCACCTTTGATTTTAGAGTTGTTAGCTGCTCCAGTAAACAATTTTCTTGGTGGTTTTCATGACCAGCTGATATAGAAAGATCACATTTGTTGCCCCAAAGTGAGACCTAATTTTTTAAAAAAGAAAACATGAAATTTGCAGTGGAAAAAGGCTGCCTAAATGCTATCAATGCTATTCTAAAATAAATTAAAACATTATATACTCTCAATATTGAGATTACAGAGGCGCCTGGAAAGCTCTTGTCAGCAGCCTATGTCCCAGGAGGGGCGACAGGCAAACCTAACCTAATATTGAGATTATAAAACAAAAATCTTACCTGTAAAAATTGTAAAAAATACTTTTTAACTTCCACGTCAGTTTTTGTTTCCTCTAAAGTCTGCAAAACCTCCAAAAAACACATAGTAAGTGTTGAAATAGCCTTATAAGAATTTAAAAATGCTGCTTGTTTTTGATCACCAAAGACATCAAATCCTCTTAATTTATCACTGAAAGTTAAGTAAAAAATATGTCCAGTCAAAATGTTAGTATCTCTATATTCTTAAGCTGAAGTCACAATGTGAATAAAATAAGTGCAATACAAACCACTGATACATAATAAAATTTGCCCAATATTTTGCTTGAGCCATTATAATTTTTAAAAATAGTAACTGCATAACATATTTTAGCCTGAATGATGAAGGACTAACTAGGTAAACTGTCAAGTTAATTCTGTGAACATCAAAGTGTACAGAGTTACACAAAAATTTACAAAGAATCGATAATATCTAGACTTTTTAAAAAAAAGCTTGAGAACTCCATTTTTAACCAAGAACATAACAAGCTATATTATATGGATACATTACCCCAAAAGCACTGCTTCATAAATTCTGCGATACAAATAACACTCCATCCACAGCCAAGCACTATCAAACCATTTCATTGGTTCTCCATTTTGTTTTTCCACTTCTTTGGCAAGTTCTGCATTCCACAAAGGCACATCTGCACGTGAATCTCTAAGAGGTGCTGCAGATTTATTTGTCATAACTTCATAGCGTAGCTGTGACATAGAACCTATTAAACTTTTCAATTCCTCTCTAGATGACTGAAAACAGAAGAATATTTTTTTAGCTTCTTTACCTTTGAATTAATATTTGTTAATAAAACTTCAAAATAGCTCATTTAAAAAATTAGTCTGCAAATTAATGCTGATATAGCAGCCCTTGCTTGGACTAGTAAGACCTTAAGTTACTCAAAAACCGGCTAATATTTTAGAGACTTACGTCCCCTCCATGTTCCTTGATGATTGCATCACGATTTCTGTTAAGATGATCCACTATCTTTGATAAAATAACAGGGATTCGATCCTTCATTGTTGGGAAAGCAAAAGAGCTGTGTAATATAGAGTAAAAACTGTTCATTATGTTAATTAATAAGTAGTCTTTGTATACTAATAAATTCACATATCTGAGAAGCATGATCAATAAGGATGGGGGAGCTGACGAGGACATAAAAAGCTGTATCAACAAGGCCAGATGGAATTGCACAGTAACTCCAAAGTTAGTTAAGGCAGTATTGCTTTATGGTTCAGAGACCTGGAGGGTTACAAAAATAAATATAGACAGTCTTTCACAAACAGATGTTCACGACAGATGCTCAAGATAAGATGGCCAAATAAAATATACAATAAAGACCTGTGGCAAAACACCAAACAAGATGATAATAGATAGTGACATTAAACTTAAAGCCAGCATATGGAGGATGGATAGTTTTAGTTAAGTAAGCCTATTTATTATGAACATACATATAATTAGGCAGCATTTGCACGGATCGCTCTGCGATTCATTAAATCTTCTCTCTAGGTAGCATGTGATCTATTAGCAATTCAATACTGACATAAAGTTTTAGTGTTTTATTTAATACCAAAGGTAAGCGCAGTTAAAAAAAAAAGAATAGAATCTGGATCTAGTAGGTCAGATGATAGTCCTAAATCTAGCTAGATCAAACTGTTCTTTATTGAATTATTTTTACCACTATCTAGCATGAGTGGTAATAGATCTAGATCTAAGTCTATAAGCCTATGTGAACTTAGAAAAAAAAATGATAAGAAGTAGGTCCGTTTTCAACTTATTTAAATGGGGGGGGGGGGGGGGGAGGGGGGGGGGATGTCGACGTGAAGACACAGACGATCTCAAATAGAATTTGGGTTCATTCCATGGTATGCTGAACTCACAGTGATCCCGCCGACAGTGGTTGGATTTTTCACCAGCGGACTAGAAAACATAAGCAAGCAATCATGCAGGTGACAGGTGATGAAGTTTGGAAATTTTATAAAAAAATTTTAAAAATGTTTTCAACATGAAAATTGTCAAACTGACAAAAGGCACTGTATACCAGTCGTGCTAACCCCGGGTTCCAATTCTGAGCTCCAGGGCTATGAACTTAACTACCGCACTGTTGACTCTATGACACCCGATGTGCTAGCAAATGAAATATTAAGCTTTTTTAATCAGAAGAAGGCAAATCTCAAAATTTTAGACCTACGGAATTCAAATAATACTCGTAACGCTCGGAAATCCGTGTAGTCACTTCGATATAATAATTTATAATTATAAGCTGTTTTACATAGGCCTAAAACTTTGAAATTCATAGAAAAAAAAACTATTGGGGCTAGAATGATAATTTAATTTTCTTCCTGATTCTAGCTACTAAGCTAGATCTAGAAAGCTAGATATGTAAATTTTATCATTCTGTGTTAAATAGAAACATTTGAATTTAGGCCTATATGTAACCATTATTTTATTAGCCTATTCATTAGCTGCTTAGCTGCTTAACAACAGTGCTTTATCAGCTGATTGCAGTGAATACTGGGTGAATACTCATTTTACTGAGATTAGCTTAATCGTGTAAGGCCCTTAGCCTTAAGGGGTAAGCTAGATCTAGATTCTATCATTCTACAACTTATTAATTAATAATTAAGATCTAGATCTACTACTTGTAGCTCTAGATTCTAGATCTAGAGATCTGATGTCTATGATGATTATGATAATTCATTAATTGTCAATATTGATGATCATGATCTGATCTAGCTAGAATATAGAAAAAACGTAGGCCCTAAAAAGTAAATTTTAAAAAAGCTTACTAACTCCGTATATTTAGCCGACAAAGGCGGGGGTAAACTTGATTCGTTCATATTGAGTAGACTAGATTTTAGATCTTTAATGTCTAAAATAATAACACTAATTCTAAGTTAATAATAGTCAGATGATCTGCGTTGTTGCCGTCTTTGATGTACTTTCGGTTTTTAACTGGATCTACTACCGGTTAGGCTTTTTTTTTCGAGTGATCTCCCCTAAGCTTTCTCTATTAGGCCCTATGCCTATAAAACAACAGGGGATGGCATCTGGGGATATAAACATAATTTTTAATCCATTTTTAATTGCTTAAACTTTTTAAAATATAATCTAATCTCGTAGAAAAAAGAATTGCACACCAAACGAACGCCAAACAAAATGTGTATAATAGTGCGGAATATTATTTCAGTACTTTATAAATTCACATTTGTTTTTTGAGAAATCGGAAATAGCGAAATTTACTACTTCCGGTCAACGGAAATTTCTCAAAATTCAACAGCAGGCAGAGACTTAGATCTTTTATTTACTTGTGAAATTTCATTTATCTATCTCAAATAGTACTCAATTTATAGGCTTTTGAAAAATTCAAAGTAGAAAAAGTTTTACTTCCGTTTATCGGAAATCGCTCAAAAGTTGATACGGATCTACGATTTTGATATAATACTTGTATATGAAATTTCATCAACCTAGTTGTAACGGTACTCAAGTTATCGTGTTTACGGACACGCAGTCACTCATACATACGGACAAGATAGCAAAATTATGTTTTTTCGACTCAGGGAGGTGTAAAATGTCGAGATTTGCAAAAATCTCGATTTATTTTTTTTGCATGATTACAAGACTTTATATTTCGTATATACGAGAAAGTAAAAAGAAGACCCAAAAACATCTGGTTCAAAGAATTGCAAAAAGAAATGAAACAAAGGACAGGAAAATGTGGAAGAATGTTGCCAAAGCTACACTGAAAGTTGAAAAAAGTAAAAGGAGAAAAACTGCTCAACAACAAACAGCATAAATTTTGAACATATTTTTAATGAAGTAATATGTACATATGATAGCAAAAAATATGAGCTAAATAAATATATATCAGACAGAAAGCATCAACACAGCTTCATACATAATTAATATGTACTTTTTCATGTGGTATCTAGCAATTCATTATACATTTTTTCTTAAACATTAAATAATAAAGCAAAATTAAATAATTGAACAATTGAATAATATAATGTTTGTACACAAAAAGTTTAGTTCTCAGCATACTTGGCACTTTAACCTTAAAGGTACATTTAGTCTTTGGAACATCCAAAAATACATCCACAATCTTTTACACATTTACCTGTCATCAATGATTCATTTATCTTGACCAACCATCATCAGTAGGAATCCATAATTAATTAACTTACATTGGAACATGTCATAATTAATAATAATCAAAATTCAGTAAAAGTAATAGTTTTTTTTTAACTTTACATTTTTGCTTCAGTATTTTAAAGTTAACAACTGATTATGAAACTTTATAGATACTGGTTTAATATCAATATTAAGATACAGATGGTGTCATCTAAAATTACATCATGCTAGCCTTTTGTAACAATAAGGGTGTATGTCAAGCTTTTAAATTTTAATAAGCAATATTGTAACTTTTAAAAATTAAAAAAAAACTTCTTGTAAAATTTAAAAAAAAAAACTCTAACTATACCTAATTTTAGAATCTATTTGCCAAACCTTTCAGTTAAGATGATTGTTGATTGTTTTTTTTTATTGCAATCAATCTTAGCTAGCAGCCATGTAATAGTGACTATATTAGTTATTATATATTGGTTATCTTATTAAAAAGAAAACAACTTAACATTTTATAAATTATGTCATTAAAAAACTGATTGGGGGGGGGATGATGGAGCATGGTGCTATATAAAGACAACTATCATAGTTTACATTTTTGTTTATAATAAATCTTAATATATTATACATTCTGTAAATTACAAGTCTTAAACGGATAAACAAGAGATGGATCAGTAAACCTTACAGTGAAAATATAGAAGATAGTTGGGAAAGGAACAAGAGCAATGAGAGGTGCATGGAATGTTGGTTGCAGTAACTGTGTAATGGCGATGATCCCATAGGCATGAAGTAACCAATGGCCAAGAAGAATTGTCAGATTTCTGATGTTGGTCACATTCTGTTTGACTAGCTCCTTCATTTTCTGTAAAAAAAAAACATTTTTTTTTCAATGTAGTAGGCCTATTTTTTGCAGTTTACTTTAACAGAGAAAATGTCATTTTAGAAATGAAACACAAATGCTTATTAGTTTGGCATATTAAATTTTTTTTAGACAAGCTTTAAAATATGAACAGAAACTAAAAGTTAAGTAAATAAATTCTAGAAAAAACTGAATGAAAAAAAAAATAACATACCTGATTTTCTTCTGTAGCTAAATGACAAGCACTTGTAATAACAGACACAACGACGATTATGTAAGGGAAAGCATAATCTGCAGGGTGTAAAAAAAAATAACACAATATTATATTAAAACTACAACTCCACAAAATAATGAGTTTGTATTTTGCATTATAATCTAATTGAAATTGAATTACAATAGTATTTTTTAAAAGTAGGCCTAACTACAGTTAATCTATATATATATGAACTGAAGTACGTTTGTCTTTACTAAACCATACATCTAATTGCCATAAAACTATTGAAACTGTTGGAAGTAGTTGAATACCCTCCAGTTAGGAAATCAGGCATAATTTTTCAAATATTGGAATGGGGGCGGCAGCAGTAGTGTGCAATTGGGCCCAAGTACCTACATGAGTTAGCACCTGGGGGTCTGCTGATTGGACATCTTACAAAAAGGGTCAAATGCAACTTCTAATATTATTTCAATAAAAGATTTATTTAAAATCTTAACAAAACTTCACAATAATCATTTGAGCTACTTTCTTATTCAACATCACTGTATTAGTTACATTGTAAATAAAGCTTGACTCAACAGTTGAGGCATTTTAATGAGTTTTAATTTCAATAATTCCATTGCCCGAAGTTATGAAACAAAATTATTAACTTGAAAAACAATAATATTGCCCGTAATTATGAAAAGAATTCTTAATTTTTAAAAATTCTTTAAAAATGAACACCTATTGATCGGACAACAAGAATACAATGAAATGAAAAAAATTATTTCAGCTTCTGTTAGTATCCTCAAGATCTCATTACAGGCGAGACTTCTGTTACTATGTGTAAATAAATGAATTATACATAGTCTGGACAAGAGAGGATACATCGGACTGAATCACAAAAGAAAATTCTCTGCAATCATGGCCACATAGACTGTAAAGGGTAAAATTCTTTTCATCTTAGATTGAAGCAACAGGTGACAGGTCTGCTAATTTATAATAAATATTTTTTAATATTAACTATACACTTCTTTGTGCTTTGCATAATTATTAGATATATTTAATTAAAATTTTATGGTAAACGGACTTACAGATAACACCAGCAAGTACAGAGTGAACAAGAATAAGAATGGGCAGAAAGTACAAAGCAGCATAAATAGATCTTGATCCTTGACATCCTGTCAATTTGTAGGCTACAATAGGGCGCAGAAGCATCATAAATACCAGTGAAAAGACATAATAAATCATAACCATAGTATATCTGAAAATAAAAAGAAACAACTTTGATATTTATAAAACAAGACACTTCTTTGGTACATGATCAAATATAAACTAAATTAAATTTTGATTTTAAGAGCATAAACAAGTTTTAAGAAGAACCAAAACAGACAAAATATGGGTATTGTTGCTGCAGATAAATTATTATTGATAAAAATAAAGGATTTTGCTGATTACTTTAGCAGTATTAAATATAAATAATAAGTAAGAGTTATAATGAAACATATACAACTTTAATAAAATAAGTACTTACAAAGGATAAACTATCTCTTGTGTACAGTAAATTGTATTGTAATAATCAGGTGTGGGGTTAAACAACATTGTGTACCAATCACTAAAATGATTAACTGGGCAGGAACGTATGTCTAAAGTGCCCTTTGGGTCAGACAGGAAAAGTGTCAACAAGCCAGCCAGAACTGTTTCAATAGTGGCTGATAAATGTAGCAGCAAAACTCGTCTGAAATATTGGAAAACAATTTCTGTCGATTACACATACGATTATATCTCTCTAAAATATTAGTTAAATAACCTAATACAGAAAACTTAAACTAGTCAATATGTATAATACACACTATATTAATAAGTGGCACAAACTTTTTGGGTCGAGATAGGATGTCTATAAATGCCCAATGTAAAACAAGAGAAACCAGTCCCATAAAACCAAGGTAAAGCCAGTCATAAAATGTGGGACTGCTGTTACATCGAAGGCATTCTGAAGACTGGTCAGGCGCATAACCTCGAGGACAAGCCTACATGGATAGAAAAGGTAACAATAACTTCCATATTATAAATTAAAAAATACATTTTTTAAAACTTCAATCAAATGTTGAAACATTTTTTAAGAGTTTATAACAAAATGTTCCAGAGAAAAACAAGATGGTACTTATGGATAATGCAATTTTTCAGTTTTTAAAATTTGGTCAGAACATATGTAAAATATTATAGGTTGACAAAGAGATAAGAATGAAAAATGATTCCTTCTTTCTAGATGTTACATATATTTTTAATTTCTCAATATCTAAAGATGAGACATTTAAAAAGTTCAAAATTTATACAGTGCAACTGGTATAGCATAGATTATCATAAATTTACTCACACCACATGTGTCTTCCCCAGGCATGCGGCCACAGTATCGTCCTGGACATACTTCTTTTCCTGCTAAGGAATTCGTTAATTTTTTTAAATGTATTCAATTTCAATTATTTATTATCAAATTGTATTCAATAAGTAATTATTATTTAATAAATAGTTTTCGGAAAATAAATGGTTTTCACTAAGCATCAGAATTCATTTACGTAAAAAAATTTTTTGGAAAAAAAATAAGTATAAAAAAAATAATAATACTACTATTTTTAGTTGACTTTTAGTGGATTGTATGTTTATCATGAGAACTATTGTTATACTTTATCAATGTTAATTTATGCATATGATTGATGTGAAAATTTAAGGAAATTAATTACAAAGGTTGTAATAACTGATTACTAAATGACAATGAATTCTCTTCCCTTGTTACCTGGGTAAAAATCATTACCTGCAGTGCAGATTGATACGCTCACAAAGAATGCAGCATAAATGAAAAGAATGATTAACTTCTGAGTTCTCATTACTTCATTTATAAAATAATTCTACACAAGGATGCATTGATTACTGAAAAAAAAAGAAAATCAGGATCAAAATATTAAAACAAATATCACTTCAATACACAGAAAATTAAGCACAGTGTTTATTTCTTTTGGTTTTAGCCGTCTTTTGATAGAAAATGCTTAATATTTTATTTCCAACACATTGTGGCATGGCAGAGTAAAGAGAACAATGCAGTAGCTGACATAACAGTTTTGAATTTGAACCAGAAGTGAATCAGTCTTGATTTATTTTATTTTTTCACATAGAAAACGCATAAGTGGTTTTTAAAAAAAATCTTTTCTTGATCGAAATAATATATATATAATATATATAATACTAGCGTGCCCGTCCCCGCCCGTTGCAGCGGGGTAAGAAGAAAGTCCGAGGATAGCCCGAAGCAAGTCACACCCTGCTGACGCGCCTGATTCAATTTAGTGAATGACTATAATACTACTTCTTATCCATATTGTATCACACTTTTTTAAACAAATGTTTGCGCCATAGCTCAAGGGATAGCCCTGGGTGCCCAATCGCACCCTGCCGGGGCTTGGCGAACATGCCTAATTCAGTTTAGTGGAAGACTATAATGCCCCATTGTACCCATGGTCTATCGCACTGTTTAAAACTAATGTAGGCAGAGGCGTAGCGAGGGGGGCGCCAAAATGGGTTGGAAAACAAATTGAAAAAAGTCTGAGGGGGGTGCAAATCAAAAGTTCGAGGGGGGGTGCAAATCGAAGGTTTGTCCCCGGGAAGGGTTGCTACGTCTCTGAACGTAGGTGCCATAGCTCTCACTGGAAAGGCCAGGGCGCCAAATCGCACCCTGCCAGGGGCTGCCAAAAATTGGATTTTTCCGCTGCAGAAACCTTCTCAGGAGTATTCTCATCAACTCCATGAAGTTTTATGGCACTCGGATGAACAGTATTGAACCACATTTGACTTTTATTTTTATATATTTTTTTATATATAGAGAAAAATCGCACCCACCCATGGCGCCGCCCTTGCGAAATTAAAAAGTTTTTTTGCAGAACCCTTCCGTGTAATATTCTAATCAACTTTCCAAAGTTTTGTGGCGATGAACGATGTCAAACTGCAATTGATTTTTATTTTTTTAAAACTGTATATAGAGAAGAATCATACCACGCGCTGAAATTCTTTTTTTGTAGAAACCTCTCGAAGAGTATTCTCAACAACTTCTCGAAGCTTTATGGCACTTGATTGAACAGTGTTGAACCGCATCAGACTTTTTTTTTTATATACCGGAGATAGAGAAAAATCGCACCCTCCCAGGACGCCTGCCTGCAAATTTGAAATTTTTGTTTTTGCAGAAACCTCCCCAGGAGTAATCTCAACAACTTCCCAAAGTTTGATGGCGATCGGATGAAAGGTGTAGTAAAGCATTACAGACGAACAAACAAACACAAATACATTTTGTTTTTTACTTTCTTGTATACCAAGTATAGAGAAAGTATTGTAATCGTTTCTGATTTCTCAAAAAACACATGTGGATTTATAGAGTATTAATAATATTCTGCACTATTATACACAGATTGATTGGCATTTACTTGGTGCGCCATTCTTTTTTCTATGAGATTCAATTCTATTTAAAAAAAGTTTAAGTAATTAAAAAATGGATTAAAAATCATGTCTATATTGGCCTGAGTTGCCATTCCCCTTACTGTTATATAAGAATATTTGAGAAAGTTTAGGGGAGATCACTCCCGGTTTATTATATATATAGATAGATAATATATATTATACATTCTTTTATATATAATATATATAAATGAATATCAAGATTTCTCAAACATAGTCACTCACAAGATCAACTGCTTACATTTTATTGTCTGCAGGAGAAAAATCCTAACACGGTCGAGGATTCACTGCAAGTGAACAGGCATATTTAGTGTCATTTTAACTTCACACAAGCTTATAGGACTATACACATAGCGAAAAAAAAAACAATTGCCTGCTGCTACTATAGACGAGAAAATTAAGAAAGATATATTTTTAAAAAGTTGGTCTTTCATAAGACCTAATGGCTAATACTGTATGGTCTTTACAAGGACTAGATCTAGATTTCTGTCAGATCTATTTTTAGTTTTCGATATTATCACAATTATGGGTATCTGTTTTTCAATTAATTTTGTAATATCTTAAATTGTATGTAGAATTTATAGCCTAATAAATATGTCTATTATTTTGATTTTTTGCTCTCTGCCCTTGAGTAAGCTAGGCAATTAGATTCTATATATAATATTTGCCAAATTTTGTCTCAAATTAACCTGTATGCAATATGGTTTGTAATGGTGTAAAGTAAAATAGTATATAATATAATAATAGATAGACTCTATCTAAGCTAAGAGTATTTTAAGTGACAGAAAATTTAAATAAAAAATTTAATGAGAAAATCGGGTATGGGGAAATTGCGAGACGCGAAAAGCGAAATGGCGAGGCGGGAAAATGCGAGAAGGGCGCGAAAACGGTCGGTCACTTGACTTTTTTGTCTCGCATTTTACCACAAGCCGATACTTACTCTGGGTGTTGTTGAAACGCGAAGATTTCTGCGAAAAATTTACCGCACCCGATTTTCAGTGGTATTTGGTCCAGACTTCAAAGCCGTTTCGTTTACATTGTTAAAACTTCAGATTTTTCCGTCGCTAGACATACTGATGATTTGTCAACTCCCCCCATCTTTTGTGTCGACTTAGAATACCACCTTGTTCGAAACCGACGGAAATACCGCCGACGATAGATCAACCTCTGTCTTTTGTGTGGAACGTCGAGGCCGCCTGATTTACCGTCTTTGAAGATCGCCGTGCCCGGATCCGCTGCCACCGCAAACATATTTTCTATTGTTGCATAGAAATTTTGTATTATAGCTGCCGCCTACGAATTTTTTCTAGCTTTTTTTTACCATATAAATCTAAGCACAAGGAAATGCCTACATCATTTGGATACAACTATTCTGGAGGTAAGAACTACTTACTGTGTGTTTTCTCTTCCAATGTTCCTTTACACTAATTTATATTAGATTTTTTATCACGGTTGTGACTTTTCCGAATTTTCCCATAAATGTTATATTATTATTTATTAATCATAATATAACATTTATGGGAAAATTCGGATATTACTCTATGGAGCAGAGACATGGAGAATAACTGCTATAAATAAGAAGAAATTACAATCATTTATAAACGCATGCCTCAGAAAGATCCTGCGAATTCGCTGGCCTAAAACCATCAGAAATGATGTTCTATGGCAACGGACAAATCAACTGCCAGTTGAAGTAGAGATCCTCCAGAGAAAATGGAAATGGATTGGCCACACACTCAGGAAGCCTGTATCCAGCATAACAAGACAGGCCCTCACCTGGAATCCACAAGGCAGGAGGAAGAGAGGCAGACCAAGAAAGACCTGGAGACGTGACCTGGAAGAAGACACCAAGAAGATTGGATACACCTGGGGACAGTTGGAGAGACTAGCCCTGGACAGAGACGTCTGGAAAGCTCTTGTCAGCGGCCTATGTCCCAGTAGGGACGACAGGCAAACATGACAACATGATTATTTATTAATTAATTGTATAGATCTATATATATATATATATATATATAATTTATTATTTCCATAAATAAGTCAGAAAAATAACATCAAATTAAGTATGCGATTACTGCCCTATGTGAAGGTGAGGACTAGATTAACCCTCCCTTATGTGTTGCTTATTCCTAAGCTTTTATGAACTCTCAATGCCCCCAGTTTTTTTTCTCTTACTTAATGTTTGGGGAAAAATTGACGTCACCGATATTATCAGTTGCTCGTGCTATATCGTAAGCTATGGGCCTACTTCAAATATTTTTAAAACCAAGCTGAACTTATCTGAATTTTTTGGTTTTGGTGGTGGTGTTATTTGGGGGTCTTCCATAAATAACGTCACACTCGTAGGGGGGGGGGGGGGGGGGTCTGTAATTTTATGACGATGTGTGATGAGGGGGAGGAGGGGGGGGGGGTTTAGATGTGAAGTCACACTATAAACATGTATAAACATGAGCGGGCTAGATTTTTAAATTAATGCCGACTGAGACGGGATTTTCCTCTCGCTATCAAGAGCGGGCGATGACAGTAGCACAGCAACGATGTTAGGATTTTTAAATAGATAGATCTAGATATAGATCTATCTATCTTCTTAGTATCTAGATAAAAAATAACAACATACAACACTCGTGTTAAAGGGTATGGCTAAATGCTTGTTTATTTTAAAGCAAAAAATTATAATTTAAATAAATAAAGATGGAAAAAAAAAGAAAAAAACTTTTTTCGCAAAAAGTGTCTCGCTATTTACCCTTAATTCCGCAGGTATGTCTCGCATTACCTTCTCGCATTTTCCCGTCTCGCCATTTCGCTTTTCGCGTCTCGCAATTTCCCCACACCCGAGAAAATCTATTAGTAGTAGTTACTAAAGTTAGTTAGTAATACTAAATACTAGGCCTTGGCCCAAGGCTTGGGCCTTGACACTGTTGACTGTCAAGTTGGCACAACAGTGAGTCTTGGAGAGTTAGCACTTTACAGCGACAATCACTCACATTCACTCATGTGATTTTATTTATTTATTAGGCCTATTCTTATACTTAGGCCTATAGTAACTATAAGAATAGGCCTAATAAATAAATAAAATCACATGAATGAATGTACTACTAGTTTCTAGTAGTACTACTGTAGCTAGATGATCTGATCTAAATCTAGATTCTAGAGTGATTCTAGAGATCTAGATATCTAGATCTAGATTAAAAACTGTAGTTTTAAAAAAAAAACAGTAGCCTACAAAAAACCTTTGTAATAACTTAAGTGAGGTATTTTATTTTGATCTAACTACTAGATTTATACTCTGCCTGGCCTATGCATGGTATTATTTAAATTTACTGTCATTAACTACTGTAGTATTGATATAATATATAATCATTAATCAAGCCTTGCAACTTGTGACTGTGACTTGTAATGTAAACAGTATTAACACTAGTAAATAACACTAACATTGCCTTGCCAGATCAAAATGTTAGGATGTTGCTAGACGAAATATTAAAAGTTTTCAACATGAAACTATTCTCACTAACTCTCAGTGTGTGTTAGATCTAGCTAGATCTATAAACTAATTAAAGATACATCTAACTGCATAGATTCTAGATATATACTCTAGTTCTTTCTGGCTATTCCCACTCTCCCACTTGATTGACTGCACGTGATTAAGTTTGATAAAGTAATAAAGCCACATTTGTCAATGAAAATTTAAAATCATTAATGTTACCATTCACAATTATTTTGAGCATTTTTTTTTTGCGTGTTCAAAGCTTACATTTAAACATTTATAACTATATTTATTATTTAGAGGACAGTTTTCAAATAAATTATGTTCTTTAATTAATAGCTTAAGGCTAAGGCTTAAGTTTAATAAGTTAAGATAGTTATTGTATTAGTTAAGTTATGGAATATCGGGTGTACTTTGGGCTTAGGCTAATAATAATAATATTAAATAATAAATAAGTCTACAAGATCGTTTAGACATTTATTCATATTTAAACTAATTTTATCGCTGTTAAAAATAAACAACTAACTAGGCCTATTGTGATACATTCTTGAATCAGAAAATGTATCACTTGTTGATCAATCTGGCAACCTAACTAGAATCTACAAATGATGTCCCTTGGTCCTACTGAATTTTAACAAACTAGGCTATAAGTTTTGCTTGCCATTTGAGTTTACAAATATGTTTATTATCAATACTCCATTTATAAATGAGCTGGTTATCAACATCCGTTGTTAACAGCGCGAGTTTTTAAAAAAACATTATTTGAAATAAAAGAAAGAAGAAATACTCGTCCTTTCATGGAGATTCGTTTATCCAGTAAATGATTTTGAAATAAAATATGATAATTTATACGTATATTTAAAACAGTTTATATTTGTATTTGTATGTGTTATTTATGCAACTAACTTCAAATAGCCCTAGATTTTGTTTTAATTCGTGTTTTTTTTATACACATTTTTAAGTGAACTGTCTGATGATTTTGTTTTTACATCGTCCTTACAAATGGGTATATTACGGTTTTTTTGTAAGTCATCATTAGGATTTTAAAGAATGAATATCATTGGTAAAAGAATACGGACTGTTTATCCAACAGTCATAGGAAGTCGTGAGACAATTTTTACTCTAATATCGAAAAGAAAGTCAACTTCATTTCATCATGAAAACACAAAAGCTAAGAATTCTTTTTTTGGCATTTTAAAACCAAAAGAAAACAAAATCGTATTTAGACCGCAAGTTTTGCTGTATCCAAGCAATATAGCAGGGGCATACAGAAAATCGATTTCTCATGTTACTTTGCGTTTAAGTGCACTACAGCAGCTTGATAACAAATCAATCAGAAATAAGCTTTTGAAATTTTTAGCTTATATATTTGCGGGTGTAGGCACATTTTATGTGACCAATGGCTCCCTACAAGCAGCAGTCCCTGCCAGTATATCACAGCGCAATTTCATCGCAGATATTGTTGAAAAAGCTGGACCAGCTGTGGTTTTTATTGAGATAAAGGGCAGGTGAGTTGAGATGCACTAAATACTTACGTTTTACCATTTATATTCAGATTGTATGCCCCTCAATGATTTTGGTTATGGGATTTATAAAGTAAAGCCGTAAAGCTTTAAAAAATAAAAATACTTTGTTGATGTGATTTCACACTAATATAATCACTATTTATTAACTAAAAACTCTACATGTACATTTTGTGTTCTCTCGCCCTTTGTGCACATAACTGTTTATGAATGTTCTATCAATAGAAAGCAAATCAAAGATGTATTTTGCTTATGTTGTGATCCTAAATCTGTGGTTTAATTGTTATGCTAACCATGATTATAAGTGTCAAATCAGAGGTTGAGAAGCAATATTCCCAGTTAATTTGATGATGATGAGTCTTATCTAAATGATTAGCTAGACCGAGCTCTAACTCTAAACCCTAATGTTAGTTGTTTCTCCATCTCAGGCTAAAGATGTGAGGGTACTTTCATGATTATCTGCAGACAATATAATATCATATAGAATGTTTTTTCTGCCATTAGACCCTGGGCCAGAATTTAGGTCATGTAAGGTCAAGGTTTTTTTGGGTAATGAGACCAGAAAAAAATCTAACTTTCTTTACTACCTCTAGCCCTATATGGTCATAAAAGTAACCATAAACTATAGAGTTGAGAAAAGTAAAAAATTCTGTAAAATTTAAATTTTACTTAAATCAGACACCCTGTGAGTGGCAAGAGAGTGACTTTTGCAAACGGCTCTGGATTCATTGTGCGCCAGAATGGCCTCATCTTAACCAATGCTCATGTGGTGGCCAACAAATCCAAAGTTAGTGTTAAGCTTCACGATGGCTCAACCTATGAGGGGACAGTGACTGCTGTTGATCCTGTCTGTGACCTGGCCACAGTCAAGATAGAAACCGAGGTAAGAAGTTTTTTTCTGTATGATATGGGCTTGATTTCATGAGGATCAATGAAGCTTAGACAAAGACAAGAGTAGGCACTGTCCTTTAGATTATTACTGCTAATCAGCTAGGTAATGAATTTGCCTGCCTCACAAAAATTGTTTTACTATAAGGGTTATTTGTTGAGCAGATTATTGATGTTGGTGTAGAGAAATCCCCATCCTAATTTTATTGTACTTATGGTTATTTATAAATGTATATTTGTCTTGACTAGTAGAAATTTCAAAGAGGTCTAAACTGCATTGTCCTTGTGGATATTTGTTGATTTTTTGTTGACTCTGTAGAACAAACTTCCTGTGATTCCACTGGGCAAGTCCTCAACCATAAGACCTGGTGAGTTTGTGGCAGCTATGGGCAGCCCCTTGTCCCTACATAAGACTGTGACTATCGGTATTGTAAGCAGCCACCTCCGCGGCAGTAGGGAGCTGGGCATGAACAACAATGACATGGAGTACATACAAACTGATGCAACTATCGGAGTAAGTAGAGCTTTCTGAAAGGGGGATGATGTTTTTAGGCCTAATTTTGTGGTGTTGAGCTTGTGTTTTGCCTGCTTGTTGAAATGTAAAAGAAATGTATTGATTACAGTTTGTTGCAAGCTAATTTCTGAGTCTAATTTTTAATTACATGAGCTGTTTTTTATTTCTGTTGCAGTTGGGTAATTCAGGTGGACCTCTGGTTAATCTGGTAAGTTTGTTGGGAATATAAGAATGCATTTCTGCTTAGCATCATTTTGGTTTTATGTATTGAGCAAATTTTCTGAGCTGTGCTGCAGTAGTGACAGAGTGTCTGACACATTATATGTATATAATTATTAATTCTTTTAATTCTTTAATTTATTTTTCAGGATGGAAGAGCTATCGGCATAAATACCTTAAAGCTGACTGAGGGAATATCCTTTGCCATCCCATCAGACTATGCTCTGCCCTTGCTAGAGAAGGCTGATTCTTTGGCAAGTAAAGGTCAGTTAAGTATTTTTTTTTTGTCAAACAGGACAAATTTCAACTAAAAATATTTGGTTGAAAATCTTGGCATTCCTCTTGTTCAGAATTTGCCAGATTTTTCATTTTCACACATCCTATCTAACTACAACAATCTATGTGCCACTCTCCAGCTGGTGCCAACAAAAAGCCCAACTACCTTAATAATGGCAAAGAGACATCAAAACGTAGATATATGGGCATCACCATGCTGCCACTTACTGCTCCCATCATCCTGGAGCTGAAGGAGAAGATCCAGGAATTCCCAGAGATCACTGGGGGAGTGTACATCCACAAAGTTGTTGTTAGTTCACCAGCTTATGTGTGAGTCCTCCTTACTTTATTTACTCATGTATTGTAACCCTACATGTTTATGAGATTTATTGTTAGGATTATCTAATCCCCACCCAAAATGACATCCCTGACTTTGTGTACTGTATTGTATTGTAACCCTACATGTTTATGAGATTTATTGTTAGGATTATCTAATCCCCACCCAAAATGACATCCCTGACTTTGTGTACTGTATTGTATTGTAACCCTACATGTTTATGAGATTTATTGTTAGGATTATCTAATCCCCACCCAAAATGACATCCCTGACTTTGTGTACTGTATTGTATTGTAACCCTACATGTTTATGAGATTTATTGTTAGGATTATCTAATCCCCACCCAAAATGACATCCCTAACTTTGTGTACTGTATTGTATTGTAACCCTACATGTTTATGAGATTTATTGTTAGGATTATCTAATCCCCACCCAAAATGACATCCCTGACTTTGTGTACTGTATTGTATTGTAACCCTACATGTTTATGACATTTATTGTTAAGATTATCTAATCCCCACCCAAAATGACATCCCTGACTTTGTCTACTGTATTGTATTGTAACCCTACATGTTTATGACATTTATTGTTAAGATTATCTAATCCCCACCCAAAATGACATCCCTGACTTTGTGTACTGTATTGTATTGTAACCATACATGTTTATGACATTTATTGTTAAGATTATCTAATCCCCACCCAAAATAACATCCCTGACTTTGTGTACTGTATTGTATTGTAACCCTACATGTTTATGACATTTATTGTTAAGATTATCTAATCCCCACCCAAAATGACATCCCTGACTTTGTGTACTGTATTGTATTGTAACCCTACATGTTTATGACATTTATTGTTAAGATTATCTAATCCCCACCCAAAATGACATCCCTGACTTTGTGTACTGTATTGTATTGTAACCATACATGTTTATGACATTTATTGTTAAGATTATCTAATCCCCCACCCAAAATGACACCCCTGACTTTGTCTACTGTTCCAGTGGTGGACTCCATGCTGGGGACATCATTGTTGAGATCAATGGGGCCAAGATTGTGACGGCCACAGACGTGTACAACATGGTGGAGAAGTCTGACATGCTGCGGGTCACTGTCATCAGGGGCAGACACACTGAGAGGTTCTCCGTGGTAACAGAAGCTCTCTGACCCCCCCCCCCCCCTTCCTTGAAGGTCAAAATCTGCTGCTGTATAGGCCAATGTCTCCTGATCTAGGTCAAGGTCTCCTTTGTGGAGGTCAAGGTCTATGGTTGTAGTTCTCAGTCACCAGTAAAATTTGATTTAATTACACTCAAGTGGTTGCAAAGCTTGTTTTATACATGAATATTTAATGACAAGAATTATTTTTGATGCTATACATTTTAAAAGCTTATGTGTATGAGAAAAAAAAGAGCAATGGAAATAAATGCATTTTTTGTTTTTGTCTAACGATGTGAAATTTTTTTCTTTTTTAAATTTTAGTTCCTTAAATTTAAGAGTCTGTAAAAGGAATTTTTTAAATTAAGGTAATTCATTGGTCTAACTTAGAGTTACTCAAAGCTTGTGTCAACAGTTCACCACAGTGTGAGAAAACACTTCATTGGAGCTTATTCTAGCCCCCCCCCCCCCCAACCCTCACCCACATCTTCACATATTTCAGAAAGCCAGCCCTATCCTCTTGCATGATATGAACATTTATACTTTAACCCTTAACAATAATGTTAACAGTAATGATAATGTTCTATTTCATATTCATACTTGTAAGAGATACAAAATGTATATTATGTTGCATTTTGTAAGAACAAAATTTGAAAATTACGACAGAGGGTGGAAAAGTATATTTATTTTATAGAAAAATATTTGCTTTTATTTTTAGGCCTAATTAATATTTGTTTTTATTTTAAATTTTCATTTTTTTTTATAAGTTGAAACATCTTTCCCTTTTTGGCATGTTTAAATTGTATGAGAGTATGATTACATTTTGTAATAACAAATATTGATGTCAAAATAACCAAGAAAATGTGAATCAAAATTTTTTAAAAAGAAAATATAAAAGCATCATCAAATAGAATTTGGTGTGAGTTTATTAATTTTCCAATAAGTTGCTTTTGTCCAGCGGAAATATATCAATTGGACAAAGAAAATGTATGATCCATCTTGAACATTCCATTATTGTGTAAGACTATAGATGCTATGATCTTGGGTAAGGAAGAAATACACTAAAAATGTACTTTCTTTACTAGAAAATAGGACAATGACGCTATATATATACACACACATATATGTATGTATACAACTATATAGTCCTATATATACACAGTTATTATATTAAGTAAATCGATATAGAATATTGGTAGATGAGTTCTAATCTCTAGGATAAGCCTTGTTGAGAATATACTTGAGACCCTTATGGCAGTAGACAAACTTTCTCTTACAAACGTATTTGTAAGCTTCTTCGAAGGTTAAGTTGGGGTTATTAGCGAAGATGTATGACGTCATTGCACTTCCGGCTCCACCAATGCCTTCGTGGTCCCCGACAAGGATTTTCTTGAACTTTGGGTAGGCGTTCCACAGCCATTTGACGATATTTTGGATCTGTGGGTAAATATTCGTCAGTTACCCCGAGACAACAGAGATGACCGGTACACCTGGACGGCAGCTACCCTTGGCAGTTTCATCGAAATAGCTAAGACGTCAAGGGATGTCACCCTGATGTAGTAGTTAGCCTACCCTGAGATGGCACTTACCACGAGATAAAGATGGTAGTTACCCTAAGATAGTAGAGATTGCACTTAAAACCACGAGATAGAGAAGGCATTTACCCTGAGATTACAGAGATGGATGTTACTACAAGATAGGGATGGTAATTACCCTGAATTAGCAGAGATGGCATTTACCCTGAGATAGCAGAGATGGCTGGTACTACAAGATAGAGATGGTAATTACCCTGAATTAGCAGAGATTGTATTTACCCTGAGATAGCAGAGATGGCTGTTACCATGAGATAGCCGAGAACCAAAAAATTTTTTTTTTAATCCGATTAGATCAAAATTCTAAAGTTGATGATCCAAATCACTTTATACATGATCCATATCGTTTTAAAACTTGTAGTTAATGTATTCTACACATCATATCAAGATGGGGGGGGGGGGGGTGTTTTATCATTTATTTCTTTGTTTTATTGTATGGGAATGATACTGGTATGAGATAATGTTATACACCTTAACGTTTAGTCTGGTCAGTTTTTGTGTGTGTGTCCAATCAAGTAAAGTATAAGTATAGAGTCGCTTGCTAGTCCAGCTTTTAAGTGTAGATTTGACTTTCTCTAAATACTTTTAATCTGAATATTTTGACGTTGTTCGAGCCGCGGTATCACAACCAACCGATACCGTCGTAATACCGACCTGATCCGACGAGATCTCGTTCCCGGCGCCCGGGTCAACGTCGGACAAGTGGTAAGCTCTGAGGATTTTGGTGACCATGTGGTCCATCTTCTCCTGCGTGCTCTCGTCCAGGTTGAGCACGGCATCGAAGCCCTCGTCGTCCGCCCCTAGTACAGCCAGGTAGTTGCCCAGGTACATGTTCTGTGTGATCTGTGGGGAACAAGGAACATGTTCTGTGTGATCTGTGGGGAACAAGGAACATGTTCTGTGTGATCTGTTGGGTACAAGGAACATGTTCTGTGTGATCTGTTGGTAACAAAGAACATGTTCTGTGTGATCTGTTGGGAACAAGGAACATGTTCTGTGTGATCTGTTGGGAACAAGGAACATGTTCTGTGTGATCTGTTGGGAACAAGGAATATGTTCTGTGTAATCTGTTGGGAACAAGGAACATGTTCTGTGTGATCTGTTGGGAACAAGGAACATGTTCTGTGTGATCTGTTGGGAACAAGGAACATGTTCTGTGTGATCTGTTGGGAACAAGGGACATGTTCTGTGTGATCTGTTGGGAACAAGGGACATGTTCTGTGTGATCTGTTGGGAACAAGGGACATGTTCTGTGTGATCTGTTGGGAACAAAGAACATGTTTTGTGTGATCTGTTGGGAACAAGGAACATGTTCTGTGTGATCTGTTGGGAACAAAGAACATGTTCTGTGTGATCTGTTGGGAACAAGGGACAAGTTCTGTGTGTACAAGGAACATATTCTGTGTGAACAAATGACATGTTTTGTGTGATCTATTGGAAACAAGAAGCTCGTTATGTGTGTTCATGATTGGTGTGATTTGTTGGCATAATCGGAATAATATTTTTATCGAGATTTATAACAATCCCTATCTGCACCCTGATTCAGAGTCTATTATTATTTAAAGTTTTTTTTTATCAACGTGTGCTGCAGAGGCGTAGCGACTGGGGGGCAGGGGGGTACATATGTCCCCGGGCGCCGACCTTAGGGGGCGCCAAAATGGGTTTTAAAAACAAATTAAAATGTAATTTTAGCTGCATTTTCGCATTATAAATAGTTTGAGGGGAGTGGTGCAAATCGAAAGTTTGAGGGGGTGGGGGGGGGGGGATGCAAATTGAAAATTTGCTCCCGAGGGGGGCGCCAAATGGAAAGTTTGTCCCCGGGCGCCGGGTAGGGTCGCTACGCCTCTGGTGTGCTGATAATTCATTTGAGAAGTAAAAGACGCATGAGTTACTTTGCTAAAAGCGTATCTTCATTCCTATGTTTATCAGATTTATGTTGCTACAGCCTCTATAGCCTACATGTTTGTTATATTAACCTGCACTGATACAGCCTATATGTTTTGTCATATTTACCTAAGCTGATACAGTATGTAAAGCCTACGTCATGTTTACCTGTGCTGATATAGCCTCTATAGTATAGCCTACACGCTTTATCATATTTACCTGTGCTGTTACACGTTTTACCATATTTACCTGTGCTGATACACGTTAAATCATGTTTACCTGTTCTGATACACGTTTTATCATATTAACCTGTGCTGATACACGTTTAATCATGTTTACCTGTGCTGATACACGTTTTATCATATTAACCTGTGCCGATACACGTTTAATCATGTTTACCTGTGCTGATACACGTTTAATCATGTTTACCTGTGCTGATGAAGGCTCTTCATTCCAGAGGTTTGTACTATTAGCCTGTGTCACGGTGACGATAGCATCGTTGTCGTAGTCATTAGCCCAAACATATGTTTTGTTTTCTTCCGGTATATGAAATCTCATACTGTAGGTTAATCTAAATTTATAATTGATAACATTTCAAAGCAACGAAAATGAAGTCATTTTCAAACGGGGCGCGGCGGGAAAGGGTGTGATTTGAAAGCTTAATGGCTGAGTTAAAATACCTAACGTGAGGAATAGGAGTTGCAGCGTCACAGACATCTGACATGTCACCACCGTGGAGGATGAGGGTGGAGTGGATGTAACGATACCAACAGCCAGAGGCGTAGCGAGGGGGGGGGGGGGGGGTCCGGAGCGCACCGGGTGACACCATTTAGGGGGATGACACCAAGGAAAAAAATAGCAAAATATATAGAGAGAAACTTGAGGGGGTGCAAATCGAAAATTTGAGGGGGGTACAAATCGAAAATTTGAAAGTTTGTCCCCGGGAAGGGTCACTACGCCTCTGGGGGGGGGGGGGGGGGTGACACCATTAAGTACCTCACCGGGTGACACCCGACCTCGCTACGCCACTGCCAACAGCTCACCTAAAATTCCCAGCGTGGGTGGGGTAGACAACGGAGGAGAAATCATACTCCGTGACGCCATCTTCCGTCCAGCGCCTCGAGTTCTCGGCGTACTTGAGGTCGATCTCCCTGAACACCTCGTCGTGCTCGTCGTTCTCGGGCAGGAAGAAGTTGGGGCAGCACATGCTGCGCGAGTCGCTGACGGTCGTGATCGGCTCGTCCTCCAGGTCCTCGTCGTCAATCTACGCAGGTCGGGGTTCAAAGGTTGGAGGTTAGAATTTCTAAGTAAACACCAGTTTTAGAGACTCGAGTCTTCTATGTTGAAATGTGGTTTTATTTTGAGGTGTTTTTTTTAAAAATTCCCCCACATAGCAGTTGGTAGTGTTACGTGTATTCTATAAAGATTAGCGTTTTTCGTTTTACAAACATAATCTGGCCATCCTTGGTGAAATTACCTGCGCCAGTGTGGTCCAGCAGAAAGCTTTGAAGTCTCGAAGAGGAATGGGCTTCTTGCATTCCAGACACATCTAGAGAGGAGAGAGAGGTGAGTACAATCTGACCTTTTAAAAACGGCCACACACATAAATACCTATAGATACACACACATACACGCACACACATAGCCGTGCCCGTGCTATAATGAAATGCAGAGAAGTCGCATAAAGCAGTGTAGGATGGGAGGTATAAGTAGCAAAGTTAAGAAACAATCGATAGTACAAAAATTAACTTGGAAATGTCAATATGATTATTTAGTCCTCTGTAAAAAGTGGTCTTACATTTACTATCAGCTTATCCAACATGGGCAAATTTGTCTTTTTCTTCAGAGGCGGGTGCGTCATCTTGATCTTCATACCGTATTCATCAGCCATCACCTGTGCATTGGTGTACACGATTTCCGTCAGCGGAATGTCCAGCCCGGCCATGGCGTGTGGGTCGGTGTGCGACTAGACCCAAGGGGCAAGTGTTGAACTAGCGGCAGAAAATAACATCAGAGTGTTGATTAGTTGTATCAAAGAGCTTACCCATTCATTTCCGGGTGGAGAGAACGGTGGATGATGATCTACATGTTAAGGGAATAGTGGATGATGATGCACATCTTACGGGAATAGTGGATGATAATGTACATCTTACGGGAATAGTGGATGATGATGTACATCTTACGGGAATAGTGGATGATGATGTACATCTTACGGGAATAGTGGATGATGATGTACATCTTACGGGAATAGTGGATGATGATGCACATCTTAAGGGAATAGTGGATGATGATGTACTTCTTACGGGAATAGTTGATGATGATGCACATCTTACGGGAACGGTGTAGATGATGATGTATTTCTTACGGGTGGATGAACAATGGATGATTATGTACAATGCATTTTTAATTCAATTTAAATATCAGACGAATTTATAATATCTAGCTAGATCTAGATATCTAGTAATATATCTGTAATAGATATAGATCTAGATCTAATCTAGATTTTAGCATAGATAATTTAGGACCCTGGAGATCTAGTTACCTTTCTAAAAAAATACAAAACTTTGGTAAGTTTATATTTTAAGTATTAAAAACTTGGTAAAGCTCTGGCTTTATTGACTGTCATTGTGCGGATTTTTATCATGTTTTTCACCTTCTGCGGAAGAAGCAAATCTGACAACCGGCTAGCTGTCTGTGACGCCAGCACTTTGTTATTTTTAGCAAGTGCGAGGAGGTGCGATGCGTAGCTTAAAGTGCATAGGTTCAAACACTTTGAAGAAAAACATCTTTAAGTGTTTTGAATGGAGGTGTGATTACCAATGACGGTTAGAGTCACTCGAAAATTAACCTTTCTTCCAGTAAACAATATTTTACAAATTCACTTCATATTATTAGTCTAAACACATTAAATTAATTTTTCCGTGCTTAGTAAAAAAAAATATAAATTCTTAAAAGCTTTAAATATTCTTTTCAATCATTATCTTTAAAAAAAAGACAATTTTTCTTCCGTTGGATTTAATTTAACATCAACTAGTTTGAAAATAGTATTTAAAATAGTGTTTAAAAACAACCACCCTGCAACACATACCCCCCTCTAAAACACCTAGACACCCCATTCTGATACGCATTGACACACTCCACTCTGATACACACCTCTTCAGACACCCACAGACATACCCCACTCATAAACACAGACACACTCCTATTCTCATACACACCTCATACACACCTCTTCTGACACCCACAGACATACCCCATTCATAAACACAGACACACTCCTATTCTCATACACACACCACAATAACTCACACATACGACTCCGCTCTCACAATCCCCCCCCCCCCCCTCCAACTAATCACTCTGACAAATACAGTGTTTCTTTCAAAAGAAATTTCGTGAGGGTGAGGGGGGGGGGGGGGGCACGTGAAACTTTCGTTGAGGTGAAGGGCAGACACTGGTTGAAGTATATAGCTTCTAAATAAATTATATATTTGTCTGTTTCGTTCAGGGGTGAACTTGCTTCGAGGGGGGGGGGCGCTGTGAAGAGAAACCCTGCATACACACCCCACTGATAAATAAAAACAAAAAAATTCTGCTGTTGTATGAGTGACAAAGTTTGTTATTTAAATAGCCTGCTGCTGGTATTGTTTCTTATAAAGTCAATCTTTGTTTTCGTGTTGAAAGGAAGTGAACTCAGCTCCCTGCACTAAACATACACTAAGAGATTCTAAACATTACAACATTCATCTACATTTTAGTATTATTTTTTGTTTCAACTTTTTCAGACGGCTCAACTTGAGTATTTAAAATTTACAATACAGGTGGGTAAGCAACGTGGTTACATGTGGTTAACAGTACATGCAAGACAATCAGCATAGAATAAGTCCTTTCAAAATTTCATTGAAAAAAAATGTCGACTTTATTCACAATAAGGATTGGATTACCTTTTAGATTAGAACTGCGGGTGGGGTTAGAATAATGTTTATGACAAAGATAGTTTTGAAAGTATGGTACGTGTTGGACAACATCTTCATTTGTTAGTTAGTACCTTAGTTAAAGCCAGGGGCGTAGCGAGGGGGGGGGGGGGGGCGGGGGGGGGGGGGGTGCGGACCGCACCGGGTGACACCATTTAGGGGGGTGACACCAAGGCAAAAAATAGCAAAATATATAGAGAAAAACTTGAGGGGGGGTGCAAATAGAAAGTTTGAGGGGGGTGCAAATCAAAAACTTGAGGGGGGGGGGGTGCAAATAGAAAGTGTGAGGGGGGGGTGCAAATCGAAAACATGAAAGTTTGTCCCCGGGAAGGATCGCAACGCCTCTGGGGGGGGGGGGGGTGACACCATTAAGTGCCGCACCGGGTGACACCCGACCTCGCTACGCCACTGGTTAAAGCTATAATGAACGAAGTATCATGAACTAAAGGCGCTACACGCCACTAGATAGAACGTGAGATGGTCAAGCTAAACCCGTTATGACGTGCTTTCATTGTCAGGCTGGGAGTGAGACCACGAGGATGGGTGACGAGCATTACGGGGACGACTTTAGGATGGTCGAGCTGGATTTTTTTTTCATCACCCCGTTCGCGCCGTCCTGTCAAGTCTGCTACCTGCTAGATAATAAACACTTCAGGTACTCATCCTTTGGTGTGTGAGGTAGCTGTGTGTGGGGAGGTGTTGGTGGGAAGGCGTGGTCTACAGTTCAGGTACTCAATCCTTTGGTGTGTGGGGTAGATGTGTGTGGGTAGGTGTTGGTGGGAAGGCGTGGTCTACAGTTCAGGTACTCAATCCTTTGGTGTGTGGGGTAGCTGTGTGTGGTAGATGTGTGTGGTAGCTGTGTGTGGTAGCCGAGTGTGGGTAGGTGTTGGTGGGAAGGCGTGGTCTACAGTTCAGGTACTCAATCCTTTGATGTGTGTGTGTGTTAGCTGGGTGTGGGAAGGCGTGGTAGGTATGTCTATGTGCGGGCATGGTGTGTGTGTTTGTGTGTGTAGAGTTGCGTGTGTTTGAGTACAGGAGTAGTGTAAGTGGCATGTGTGTGTTTATATATTGACTGGAGTGGTGCGTGTTTGTGTGGGGACATGGTGTGTGTATGTGTGAGTGTGAGAGAGTGTGTATGAGCTAATGTGTAAAACCTGTCATTCATCTCTCTGTGTCATGTGTAAATGAACTCACCGTATCATTTATTTGTATGGGCAGAACAACTAAACTAACAGAAAAAGTTAAAGAAACTAAATCTCGTACTCAAAGAAACAAAATTAACAGATAAACTAAATTTCAGAGCGGCAATAAAATACTCTGAAGCTGAACACGTGTTTGATAAGGACTTTATTGTAGAGATGTGGAGTAACCTCTATCACAAGGTGAATGTTGGTGCTCATTACTCAGATGTTAATAACATCATCCAGCTAGGGGTTGAATTGTTCTCTCAGATTTTAATATCATCATCCATCTATGTGTTGAATTGTTCACTCAGAATATAATATCATCATCCAACTAGGTGTTTAATTGTCGCTCAATGAATACGTTGCTTACTTGGTCGAAACAAACTGTACAGACCTAGATGTACTAGCGCTTGTTCCCTTCTGTGTTAAATCCAACAGGAATACTTGTACATATAAACCGTTCCCTTTTGTGACTACTTGTACATATGAACTGTTCCCTTCTTTGATTACTTGTACATATAAACCGTTCCCTTCTTTGACTACTTGTACATATAAACTGTTCCCTTCTTTGACTACGTGTACACCGTTCCTATCTGCCACAACTGCAGGAGTACAGTGAAGGGGACTGGCATGCCATCCCCATGAAGCTCCTGTCCACAGAGAAGCTGCCAGACAGCAGGAAGTGTATCTCGTATTTCGGCGTGGACCTCATCGTCACCTGCCTGGGGAGTTTCGAGTTCACCTACAGGGGACGTCACAAGGACGACCCCAACTTTAAGTGGGCCAAGTATCTAGGCTGTAACGGGCGTCTGGAGGTAAGGGCTGGGCTTTAAGTATATAGGCTGTAACGGGCGTCTAGAGGTAAGGACTGGGCTTGGAGTATATAGGCTGTAACGGGCGTCTGGAGGTAAGGGCTGGGCTTGAAGTATCTAGGCTGTAACGGGCGTCTGGAGGTAAGGGTTGGGCTTGAAGTATATAGGCTGTAACGGGCGTCTGGAGGTAAGGGCTGGGCTTGAAGTATATAGGCTGTAACGGGCGTCTGGAGGTAAGGGCTGGGTTTGGTTGTTGTCTGAGATGTTGTTTGGTGTGTGGTGGGAGATGTTTGGGTGCTAGGGTGAGAGGGTTGGGTGTTGGGGTGTTAGGGGTGACATATTTGTGGTAGGGGAGGGAGGGGTGTTAGATAATGGGCTGGAATAATTTTAGGTGTCAGATGGAAGACGGTTTGGTTGGAGAAAGCTGCATTTGTTGAAATTGTATTAGGCAGGTTAACAAGTAAAGGTCTGTGGTCGTCACTGAATAAATAATAGAATATACATTTTTTTCTTCTTTTTTTTTTAAAATGGTGTTGCGTGTGAAATATTGAACAGTTAAGTGTTTAAATTATCAGACTGATTTCTGTGTCAGATCAAACGACAAACTGACCACCTGACAACATACGTGCAGGAATCCAAGTTGTCCAAGGTAAGGTCAAGGCCACCGTGTCCAGAGCTGGTATAATTATAATTACAATAATTATAATCTAATCAAACCTTTAAACCCCTGCCGCTGGGCGTGTATGACTGCTAAAATATTGTCCAAAAATGTCTACATCTCGGGTCGGCGTGGTCGAGTCGGTAAAGCTCATGGCTACTAAACCGAAAAGTCTCGTGTTCGAAGCATCGGGAAGATGTGGCTCGTTAGCTGGGGACAGCCACTCTTCTAGGAGAAACAACTCCAAAATTAAACAACTGCTGCCTTCCAGTTTGTTCTTGATTGAACAAAGGCTATGGAAGCAAATCCAAAAAGAAAAGCAGGCTGAAATCGGAGTCAATTGCCTCAATGGCGCATAACCAGTTGAAACGTATACTTAATTGCGCTGAAGGCGTTGTCGAGTCATGGTTGTTTAATTCGAAGAAGTCTTGAGTTCAAACACTCTGGCAGATAAGGCTCGATCCCTTCCAACACTAACCATTTAGAACGAAGAAGTCTACTACTCCTTTTTACATTATCAATATTTCTAAGTTGAAGAGATGGGTGGGTTTTTTTAATTAAAAAAAAACCAAAACACCCATATCGTAGAAAGGGAGGGGGGGGGGGATCGGCAGCTAAAATCTTATTACGTCATTTATAGACGGACCACAATTGATATTTTGACAGCTTATTAGCCTTCAACCATCTCACACATCCTGTCCACCATCCCACACCTCCCTGTCCACCACCCCACACCTCCCTGTCCACCATCCCACACCTCCCTGTCCACCACCCCACACCTCCCTGTCCACCATCTGACACCTCCCTGTCCACCATCCCACACCTCCCTGTCCACCATCCCACACCTCCCTGTCCACCACCCCACACCTCCCTGTCCACCATCCCACACCTCCCTGTCCACCACCCCACACCTCCCTGTCCACCACCCCACACCTCCCTGTCCACCATCCCACACCTCCCTGTCCACCACCCCACACCTCCCTGTCCACCACCCCACACCTCCCTGTCCACCATCTGACACCTCCCTGTCCACCACCCCACACCATCCCACACCTCCCTGTCCACCATCCCACACCTCCCTGTCCACCACCCCACACCTCCCTGTCCACCATCCCACACCTCCCTGTCCACCATCCCACACCTCCCTGTCCACCACCCCACACCTCCCTGTCCACCATCCCACACCTCCCTGTCCACCATTCCACACCTCCCTGTCCACCATCCCACACCTCCCTGTCCACCATCCCACACCTCCCTGTCCACCATCTGACACCTCCCTGTCCACCACCCCACACCTCCCTGTCCACCATCTGACACCTCCCTGTCCACCATCCCACACCTCCCTGTCCACCATCCCACACCTCCCTGTCCACCACCCCACACCTCCCTGTCCACCATCCCACACCTCCCTGTCCACCATCCCACACCATCCCACACCTCCCTGTCCACCATCTGACACCTCCCTGTCCACCATCTCCCACCTTCCTGTCCACCATCCTACACCTCCCTGTCCACCATCCCACTCCTCCCTGTCCACCATCCCACACCTCCCTGTCCACCATCCCACACCTCCATGTCCACCATCTGACACCTCCCTGTCCACCATCCCACACCTCCCTGTCCACCATCCCACACCTCCCTGTCCACCATCCCACACCTCCCTGTCCACCATCCCACACCTCCCTGTCCACCATCTGACACCTCCCTGTCCACCATCCCACAGCTCCCTGTCCACCATCCCACACCTCCCTGTCCACCATCCCACACCTCCCTGTCCACCATCCCACACCATCCCACACCTCCCTGTCCACCATCTGACACCTCCCTGTCCACCATCTCCCACCTCCCTGTCCACCATCCCACACCTCCCTGTCCACCATCCCACTCCTCCCTGTCCACCATCCCACACCTCCCTGTCCACCATCCCACACCTCCCTGTCCACCATCCCACACCTCCCTGTCCACCATCTCACACCTCCCTGTCCACCATCCCACACCTCCCTGTCCACCATCCCACACCATCCCACACCTCCCTGTCCACCATCTCTCACCTCCCTGTCCACCATCTCCCACCTCCCTGTCCACCATCTCCCACCTCCCTGTCCACCATCCCACACCTCCCTGTCCACCATCTCCCACCTCCCTGTCCACCATCCCACACCTCCCTGTCCACCATCCCACACCTCCCTGTCCACCATCTGACACCTCCCTGTCCACCATCCCACACCTCCCTGTCCACCATCCCACACCATCCCACACCTGCCTGTCCACCATCCCACACCATCCCACACCTCCCTGTCCACCATCTCCCACCTCCCTGTCCACCATCCCACACCTCCCTGTCCACCATCCCACACCTCCCTGTCGTCCACCATCCCACACCTCCCTGTCCACCATCCCACACCTCCCTGTCCACCACCCCACACCTCCCTGTCCACCATCCCACACCTCCCTGTCCACCACCCCACACCTCCCTGTCCACCATCCCACACCTCCCTGTTCACGGTGAAGAGGGTAGCCTACTTTATACAATGTAACACATAAAGGTAACAAGTTATAATTACACAAGTCTAAATGTACTGCGTTACGACTGATTTAACATTCTCAAGGTCACTCACAACATATACGTGGGCAACTTCACCGCCGCCCTTGAAGCCCACCTGAACGGCTTCGACGCCCTGCTCAACGTCTCTAACGACGCCCCGGTCTACGCCAAGCAGCTGTCTCGACCCATCATCTTGAAGAAGCTCCCCATAGCTTTTGGCGTGGATGTCGTCATTGGGTAAATACTTTAGTATTTCTCCGTCGTCGGGAGCATTATTTAGTAGTGATGGGATTGCCCATCTCCACCACAGAATTTGGTTGAGTTAAAAAGAAATTTCTGAAATAGTTCTCAGCTTTTTGAATTCCCACGAACCTTAGTCACAAAGACAAAAAGCATAATAGGAATAGTTCTGAAATTGTTTTGTTATGATGATCCGCATCTGCTTTACAGATTACTTTAATTCGTCTAAATCAGGGGTTCCCAACCTTTTTTTACTCTAGAGCACATTCTAAAATATCGGAAGGGTGGCGGGCACCACCTATTTTAAATCGACAAACTCCTTCCAGAGGCGTAGCGACCCTTCCCGTCACCCGGGGACAAAACTTTCGATTTGCACCCCCTCTTAAATTTTCGATTTGCACACTCCCCCCTCAAATTTTCGATTTGCATCCCCCCCCCCCCTCAAACTTTCGATTTGCACCCTCCCCCCTCAAACTTTCGATTTCCATCCCCTTCAACCTATCAAAAATGTTTATGAAAAAAATTCTGTCTCTGTCGAATAGTGAGAGGCGGGCACATATGAATCGTTCGGCGGGCGCCATGGCGCCCGCGGGCACGGGGTTGGGAACCCCTGGTCTAAATGATACAATGTGGAATGAATTGAATTTGTATTTCTTTTAAAATCATTGACAAGGGAATTAATAAGACATTCCACACACAAAAAAATTCGTCCTTATTTAGTGAGTTTGTTCCCTTGATTCTCCCCCCAGCGAAAACATGATCCTTGAAGCCGTGTTCTGGCTGCGAGCCATGAGCGACCTCTGCAGCAAAATCCTCATCGCGAGCAGGGACGGGCACGGCAGGGCGGGGTCCATCATGATCTCCTTCATCTTCGCCATGAACCCCAACCTCACGTTCGACGAGGCCTACAAGTTTGTCAACGACCGCCATTTTGTGTACCCCCATAAGGGTCTGAGAGAGTCACTCAACCGTATCTACATCCGGGAGTAATGCACAGGGATAATAGGATAATACACTGGATAATTCAGGTGGAGCATGGGATAATACACGGTGATAACTCAGGTGGATAATATGATAATACGCGGGGATAATACACGGCGCTAATTCAGAGGGAATAATAGGATAATACACGGGGATAATACACGGGTATAAATCATGGGGATAATAGGATAATACACGGGGATAATACACGGTTATAAATCATGGGGATAATAGAATAATACACTGGGATAATTCATGAGGATAAAATACTGTAATAATACACAGTGATTCACACATAGAAAGTGGTTCAAGGGTATACTACATGGAGGCAATTCGCGGTTTTTATTTCTATAAAATATATTTGTTATATCTAGTACGTAAGAAACACATTTTAAAAATTGGAACTATTATTTTCAGTGACATTAGCACATTAATAGAATGTTAGTACTCGTTTGATTAAAATCTCTAAAATGTTAATGAGTGTTGCGATTATATTTCAAATGTTTTTTTTTTGTCTTTTTATATTGAGTTTACAGGATAAGATTGAAGTAAAGCCGACTACTTTTGTAGCTCTTTTCTTATATTGGCAGCGTTTTGATGTGTTGTATTAACGTGTTAAATCGGATGCGTTTTCCGGTCTGGTGATGTTTTTATTATTTTTCAATTTTCTAAATAAAGCTGCGCTATTGTCTCATGTAAAAGACATGCCTCTCTAATTATAACATTTGGCTGGTGTGGTTGTAGTAGAGAGCACGACTGCACACGACAGTTGAATTCGGATCCTCAAGTCCACCCAGCTCTGATAGGGACCTGAGTGACGTTAGATAAAGTAAAGGCGGCTTGGTATAGTGCTGACTACACTATCCGTCCATATGCCGCGGTCACAGAAACGGGTGATCTCTACATCATCAACTATCAGATTCTAAAGGGCAAGTTTAACTTGTTACTTCTATTTTACTCAAATATACTGGTATAACGGATATGGCAAGATCAAGTTCTACAGAACAACAGCACGTAAAGTTACAATTTTTTAAGACCAGCGCCCCCCCTTTTTTTCAGCCCATTCCATAAACATAATACTATCCTCACCCCAAATCTTAAAACTTCATCCTTCTTTATGGGTAACCATTGAATCTACCAGAAAGACGAAATTGCGGGAGTATCACCTAGATAAAAAAATTAGGTAAAGCTACAGAATAAAAATTAATGACATACTGCAGGTTTTTTTTTCGTTTTTTTTTATTCACTTCGACAAAAATCCTCAACGCGAAACGTAACCTGAACTCATGCATTGCTCTCAATAAAAACCATCAGCACATAACCTTGTTTACATATGATATTTAAAATACGTTTACCGTATAACATTCTGTACCCTCCCCCCTAAACCTAGCACTAAAAATCGTCCACAACAATTAAACACCATCTTCAGTTGCTAAAATAAAAATAGTGCTACACATCTACGATCTAACGAACGCACCAAACTCCACCACCAGTGAACGCAGCCTCTATGACGTCTCGGGTAGAAACGGACTTTGTTTTTATTCCAGCCATGGCGTTTACCTAGTAGTTAGCGTCCAGCAAATAGATTTTATTACACGTCGATCATTTATTTTACATCGCAGCAAGTTATCTACCAGGTGAAAAGAACATCTTTAAGAGAAGTATTTAAATCTAGATCTAGCTTCTGCTCATTTACACTCAGTTTTAGATACACGTGATATAGATTCTAACAAGAAGATGGAAGAACAAAATTTTATGAACATGGATCCCGAATGCGAGCGACCCAGAAATTACGAGGAAGCGGTCAGCGGAGAAGTGTCGTGGGATAACTACGGTTTCCGCATCAAGTGGACTGAACCGGAAGTTCCAGGCGAGTTCAGGAACCCGTGTAATGAGCCATTGAGGCTAAGGTTGTGCGTGGAGACGAAGACAAGTCTGCAAGTCCCGCCTGATGACATCACAGCTTGGTGTTGGACTAACATGAGATTTGACGTGAGTACACTATCTAGCTGTAGATCTTTCTAGCACGTGAGTACACCAGCCTTAAGTTTAGATTTTCTAGCTTGGTGAGTACACCAGATTTAGGTTTTCTAGCTTGGTGAGTACACCAGTCTTAGGTTTTCTAGCTAGGTGAGTACACCAGCCTTAGGTTTTCTAGCTTGGTGAGTACACCAGCCTTAGGTTTTCTAGCTTGGTGAGTACACCAGCCTTAGGTTTTCTAGCTTGGTGAGTACACCAGCCTTAGGTTTTCTAGCTTGGTGAGTACACCAGCCTTAGGTTTTCTAGCTTGGTGAGTACACCAGCCTTAGGTTTTCTAGCTTGGTGAGTACACCAGTCTTAGGTTTTCTAGCTTGGTGAGTACACCAGTCTTAGGTTTTCTAGCTTGGTGAGTACAACAGCCTTAGGTTTTCTAGCTTGGTGAGTACACCAGTCTTAGGTTTTCTAGCTTGGTGAGTACACCAGTCTTAGGTTTTCTAGCTTGGTGAGTACAACAGTCTTAGGTTTTCTAGCTTGGTGAGTACACCAGTCTTAGGTTTTCTAGCTTGGTGAGTACACCAGCCTTAGGTTTTCTAGCTTGGTGAGTACACCAGCCTTAGGTTTTCTAGCTTGGTGAGTACACCAGCCTTAGGTTTTCTAGCTTAGTGAGTACACCAGCCTTAGGCTTTCTAGCTTGGTGAGTACACCAGCCTTAGGTTTTCTAGCTAGGTGAGTACACCAGCCTTAGGTTTTCTAGCTTGGTGAGTACACCAGCCTTAGGTTTTCTAGCTTGGTGAGTACACCAGCCTTAGGTTTTCTAGCTTGGTGAGTACACCAGCCTTAGGTTTTCTAGCTTGGTGAGTACACCAGCCTTAGACTTTCTACTCACATGAGTACATGAGCCTTAGGTTTTCTAGCTTGGTGAGTTCACCATCCTTAGGTTTTCTAGCTTGGTGAGTACACCAGCCTTAGATTTTCTTGCTAGGTGAGTTCGCCAGCCTTAGGTTTTCTAGCTCTGTGAGTACACCAGCCTTAGGTTTTCTAGCTTGGTGAGTACACAAGCCTTAGACTTTCTAGCTAGGTGAGTACACAAGCCTTAGACTTTCTACCCACTACAGTACACCACCTTTAATGTCCATGTTTGTGATTTTTAAAAAACTATGGGCAATTTGGTGTAACCCCCATCCCAAAAGGTTTCATTCTTTTTTCTAATTATGTCTATTAAACTTTAATAAACCTACTGGAAAAAGCAGACTTTCTGATCAAAATGGCTGTTTTGTTTTGGTGTTACCTCTTAGATGATGTCAACCAGGGTTGTGCCACCCCCCCCCCCCCCGCCACCATTACTGATTATAGACCGTATATAACAAGAGGTGGTAATGAACAGGAAAACCCTTGGGTCACAAGCTCTATGTTTTAGAGTGTGGGCACATCTCTAGACCTAGTCTAATCCACAGGGAAACCCCTATGGCATCTGGAAAGAAATCAACCTGGAAAACCTACCCAAATGCACTCAATGGGACGACCATGGCATCAACTCGTACGTCTTCCAGTCCTACGTGGTACCTACAATGAACAACAACTACAGGTAATTACTTTTCTCTAGCGTCATATTATTCCATCCAGCAACGGTGAGGAAGGTATAGACTTGCATGAGTCATGTTTTTATACCTAAATATGGAATCGAATATTTTAAATTTTTTATTTTTTTTTATTTTTTTACTATCGAATAATTTATAGTACAAACAATTTGAAATTAAGATAAAAAGCAAAGTCTAAGATGACGGCGTGGTCGAGTGATAAAGCATATGAGTGAATATGACTGCTGACCCGAAAGCCTCGAGTTCGAAATTCCGGTTCAATTATGTAAAACGTCCTGAAGTCCACAGAGCTCTGAAGGGTACCTAACTCACGTTAGGCTTGACACAGTGCTAACCACACTATTTTTTCATATGCCAAGGTCCAGTGGCGTAGCGAGGTCGGGTGTCACCCGGTGCGGCACTTAATGGTGTCACCCCCCAGAGGCGTAGCGACCCTTCCCGGGGACAAACTTTCAAGTTTTCGATTTGCACCCCCCCCCCTCAAACTTTCGATTTGCACCCCCCCTCAAGTTTTTCTCAATATATTTTGCTATTTTTTGCCTTGGTGTCACCCCCCTAAATGGTGTCACCCGGTGCGGTCCGCACCCCCCCCCTCGCTACGCCCCTGCCAAGGTCACAGAAACAGGTGAACTCTACTATACTTGCCAAATTGACCTTCAGGTTCGAAAGTGAACTTGACTTACGTTTGAGATGACATCTGAACAGGCAAAGCATACGTTCAATATCGCTAGTCGTTATCTCAACCCAACTGAGCTATTGACTTATCCCATATCCCTAATAAACACAATCTTTTTAGGCTGACATTTAACGTGAAATTCGGCAAAATCATGATCTGGGCTAACAAATTTCAAGTGGATAATATTCTGGACATCCTGCAAAAACCTGCTGTGGGCACACAGGTAAGTCAACCGTTGGGTTGGTCGAGTCGTGGTGGTCTAGTTTTGTTGGTTTAGTTTTCATGGTCTAGTTTTGGCGGTCCAGTTTTGCTGGTATAGTTTTGCAGGTCTAGTTTTGTGGGTCTCGTTTTGATGGTCTAGTTTTGCTGGTCTCGTTTTGGTGGTCTAGTTTTGATGGTCTAGTTTTGATGGTCTAGTTTTGATGGTCTAATATTGATGGTCTCGTTTTGATTGTCTAATTTTGCTGTTGTAATTGGGCTAGTTTAATTATGCTGGTCAAGTTTTGCTGTCTAGTTTGTTGGTCTCGTTTTGCTGTCTAGTTTGTTGGTCTCGTTTTGCTGGTCTAGTTTTGCTGGTCTAGTTTTGCTGGTCTAGTTTTGCTGGTCTAGTTTTGATGGTCTAGTTTTGATGGTCTAGTTTTTCCCTTGTAATTTTGCTAGTTTAATTATGCTGGTCTAGTTTTGTTGGTCTCGTTTTGCTGGTCTAGTTTTAGTCTAGTTTTGCTGATTTAATTATGCTGGTCTAGTTTCGCTGGTCTAGTTTTGTTTGCTTAGTTTTATTGGTCTAGTTTTGATGGTCTAGTTTTACTGTTGTAATTTTGCTGGTTTAATTCTGCTGGTCTAGTTTTGCTGTCTAGTTTTGCTGTCTAGTTTTGCTGGTCTAGTTTCGCTGGTCTAGTTTTGCTGGTCTAGTTTTGCTGGTTTAATTATGCTGGTCTAGTTTCGCTGGTCTAGTTTTGTTTGCTTAGTTTTATTGGTCTAGTTTTGATGGTCTAGTTTTACTTTTGTAATTTTGCTGGTTTAATTCTGCTGGTCAAGTTTTGATGTCTAGTTTGGTTGGTCTCGTTTTGCTGGTCTAGTTTTACTGGTCTAGTTTTGCTGGTCTTGTTTCGCTGGTCTAGTTTTGCTGTCTAGTGATGTTGGTCTAGTTATGTCGTGCTAGTCTAGTTCAGTATTGTTAGTCTATGTTAGTATTTATTTAAACATGTCTATTCACTTTACCCGCTGATTGTATTTGTAAACATTCGTGCATTAAAACATAAATCCGATGATTAATACATGCATATTCCTTTCACACACCCTGCTAAACATGTTGAAATATCACTATTTTCAAAATATTCAGACAACAATTTATCCATCTGTTCACTTCGCATGTAACTTCACGGATGAAAAACTTCCATTCAAGAATGCGGACGACGAACAAGAACTTAGGTTTGTTGTCAACAATTTTCTTTTCTTTTATTAAAGACATCTGATAGCGTCTGATTTTTTATGTTTTTTTACCCCGACTGGGCCATCAGAGTTTCTTTCAGACATCTCTCAGAGGGAGTAATGCCCTCCCCCCCCCCCCACCTCTTCCGGAGCATGCCCATCGAACCTTATCCCCCCCCCCCCCCCCCACAACTATATATTTGAAATAAAAATTATATATTTAACCCTTTTCCGTCTGCTCCTGGAAAAATGTCTGGAAAAGAAGTCTGTATATGCCACCCTATGAGTAGCCAATCATTTACCTGATTATTCCAGTGGTACAACAGATACTATGAGGGACATAGTACCTGTAAGATTGATTCTTTAAGTCAAAGGTCAAAACCAATGCTTTATGGGTAAATTTTGTTGAAACTCCACCCTTTAAGGGTGATTCTTGTAAAGTTAACTGTTAAGACCCAACCTTCTTGTCGGAAGTGATACTTCTTAAGTCTGTATATTCCAACTAGGTAATAAACACAAGAACTTAAGACCCATAAACAACATTCCAATAAGCATAGAAGGTACTGTCGGTTTAACTATCTCTTTAGAAACTAACCGTAACACTAACCTAGACTTGAACCTGAATATAAAATAAAATTGTGTGTAATCCCCTGACGTTCCTGCCTTTGCCAATGCCTAACGTTAAGCTTAACTAGGGTGTAAGAATATTCACCATAAATGAGTTTGTCTTAGGCGCGTGTTTTCTTGTCTTACCTGTAAGACGTGTGTCTTCAAACGCTACTTACATGTGTCGACAGGAAGCAGATGTCTATTGTTGAAAGTGTCAAGAATTTCGCTACCGAAAGTCCCAAGACCGCTCCAAGTGTCAAGTCAGTCCATTCAAATGCCGAATCTGTCAAGAATGCCCCCAGTGTCAAGTCAGTGCATTCTAAAGCAGAAACGGTTAAGTCTGTCCATTCAAGTATTCAGTCGAAAACTCAGAGGTACGTTATCGTCAATAGCGAGACAGTAGAAGTCTTTTGTTTTACTTTTATCTTATCCTCAACAGTTTGCGTAAAATATGGACACATCAATAGTATACCATTTTTACCAGTTTCTTTTAAAACATTAGATTAATTTCTGTATCAATAGTCACGGGGACAAAATCTGGAAAAAAAATACATTCACCTACGAATACATAGGAACTGCAGTTAACTAAATGTTTTGTTTAGTTGAGTATTTTAAACCCGGTACATTGGGTGAGTGAACGAAAACTTGTCTTCTACAGCAAAGCAAGTCTTAATCAGGATGGTGAGCCACCAGCAGAGGAGGAAGTGGAGGTCGTTCTCATGGGCTAAAGGTCGTCACGTGCTCATCACAAATCTTCGACCATCTATTGGATGATGCATGGACAATGCGACACCTAACCGCATGTTTTTTTATTTCATCTCTGGAGTGTGAAAGTTCGTGGCTGCCAGTCTACCACCTTACTGCCTATTGTAACATCAGTACGTTTCTTGACATTCAAAACACAAAATAAACGATCGACGTTAGCGGCTGTTTTTTTGTTTATTTTCCTTTTAGTGTGTTTTCCTTTCATTCTTTTTAATGGTGTCTTACATTTAGCTTAGTGTTCTACGTGTCAATCAGTTTATTGTTACTGCCATTTAATTTGTCATTACTATAAAGTAATCGATTTCAAGAATGCTTTAGATTGAATCTAGTAAGTGAATATTGGACATCACGATGTTTACTCGAATCAAATTTTTCATCACCTATACTTGAAACCAACGTCACCGATAATTGAAACCAACGATATTTACAATCAACGATACTTGAAACATTTGAAATCAATGATACGTAAAACATTAGAAATCGATACTAGAAACCACCTTTTACAATCAACGATACTTGAAACCTACTATAATTATAACAACGATACTTGAAACCTACTATAATTGTAACAACGATACTTGAAACATACTATAATTGTAACAACGATACTTGAAACAAACTATAATTGTAACCGATTACCTACAACCAAAGGCTATACATTTCACTAGAATCAGATTTAAAATTAAAGTTAATATAATATGCAGTGATACTCTAGAAAAAATCTACTGGTCACTGAAAATGTTTGGAGACGAAATTCGTGAACCTCGGCCACTGTTTGAGTAGTTGACGACATCTGTACATCTACATTATTTGTATAGGTTTCAATGGAGGAGATCTTTAAATCTTATGAGACGGTGAAATATCATACTGCAAACATTACTATGTAGACATTACATAATAAATGCTAAAACTATCCCATATATGTGAATTACATAACAGTATATATAGAAGTATAAATAGACTCAAATCTGTTGTTTAATAAATAACGTTTATATGTTTATAATCATCGATACAACCTATATTGCTCAACGCCACATTTCTTTGTGTTGACGGTACATATGTAGGCCTACATAGTACATGTTTGTTTGAGTGGTTGATTATATTTTTTTAGTTCAATTTTTTTTCCTTCTGAGTTGGCTACAACATAACCTGCAGGTATTGAAGCAAAGTCTTACAGCTGTCTTACAACTGTCTTACAACTGTTGCTGACCTAGTTGGTTGAGTTCTGTGGGTCTAGTTTGAGAATGTTGGCTACACCATAACTTGCAGGTATTGAAGCAAATACTCAAGTCTTACAGCTGTCTTACAACTGTCTTACAACTGTCTTACAACTGTCTTACAACTGTCTTACAACTGTCTTTCAACTGTCTTTCAACTGTCTTACAACTGTCTTACAACTGTCTTACAACTGTCTTACAACTGTCTTACAACTGTTGCCGACCTAGTTGGTTGAGTTCTGTGGGTCCAGTTTGAGAATGTTGGCTACACCATAACTTGCAGGTATTGAAGCAAAGACAAGTCTTACAACTGTCTTACAACTGTCTTACAACTGTCTTACAACTGTCTTACAACTGTCTTTCAACTGTCTTACAACTGTCTTACAACTGTCTTACAACTGTCTTACAACTGTGGCTCACCTAGTTGGTTTAGTTCTGTGGGTCCAGTTTGAGAATGTTGGCTACACCATAACTTGCAGGTATTGAAGCAAAGACAAGTCTTACAACTGTCTTACAACTGTCTTACAACTGTCTTACAACTGTCTTTCAACTGTCTTTCAACTGTCTTACAACTGTCTTACAACTGTCTTACAACTGTCTTACAACTGTCTTACAACTGTTGCCGACCTAGTTGGTTGAGTTCTGTGGGTCCAGTTTGAGAATGTTGGCTACACCATAACTTGCAGGTATTGAAGCAAAGACAAGTCTTACAACTGTCTTACAACTGTCTTACAACTGTCTTACAACTGTTGCCAACCTAGTTGGTTATGTGGGTCCAGTTTGAGAATGTTGGCTACAACATAACGTGCAGGTATTGAAGCAAAGACTCAAGTCTTACAACTGTCTTACAACTGTCTTACAACTGTCTTACAACTGTCTTACAACTGTGGCTGACCTAATGGTTGAATTCTGTGAGTCCAGTTTGAGAATGTTGGCTAGGTCTAGCGCTACCCGCTTGACCACGCATTTCCTAGGCAATCAAATCTTTATTCTTCTATTCATTCACATATGTAGGTCTAGCTGCCGTCAAAAATTTGTCTCTTCCGCTTGCAGGAACCAATTAGTCCACGACCGTCCGGAAAAACATGACGGTCGTCCTTTTCTCTAGCCGGGCTCACATTTTCCACCCGTGTTTGGGAAACACTTCGCTCCGACGCCGTCGTATTGTGCATTCACTGGTGTGCGAAATTTTTTTCTCTGGCCCCGGGGCGCTCAACTCCCCCACCCTGAATAGATGATAGTACCCAGGGCAAGGCCCGGGTCTCACGTCGTCAAGGGACACAATCGGGATGACTATCCGCCATGGTTGTTATCGCCCTTGATGTGTGCTCTCCTGTGAAGAAGGGTGGAGTTGTTCCACTGTTAACAAGGGGAGATGATTATCCCAATTCAGGCTTTTCTATGGATTTTTTTTTAATTGGTAAAGGAAAGGGAGTGGGGGTGAGGGGGTGGTACACAGAAATGGACGAAGGTGAGAAGAAATGAGGGAGAGGTGGCAGTGACGAGACCTGTGACGTACTGTCAGGTATGGTATTATCCTCAGTAGATCTCATCAAAACAAATAGTGATAAAAATACGAGGATAAAGAATAGAGCTAAAGGGGTTTTGGGGGGAGTGGGGTAGAATTAGAAGAGGGGGGTGGGGCGAAAAAAATACGCTGTAGTAGAATATTTGATGGGAATTCGACTTTTGAAAGGGCGCTAGAGGCTTTGTTTTGTTTAGTTTTGTAGGTCAAAAAGTGATGGTGGGTTATCTCACCCATGCGTGGGTGGCACTCCAAAGCTCAGCGGAGGGAGGGCGCGCTTGGGGGGAGGGGCGTGGTCCCGATTTTCCATGGCATAAAAGAAAATTTGTCATGGGTGTATTTGATTAGCGTTATTAATATTTTTCTCGGTTATTAATTACGGTGAGTTGATGATTAAACACAATTGGTTTGTTTCATAGCCGCCTTCTGCTACTGGTCCGTCTTTTGTTATAGCAAAATCATGTCAGGTTGGACAGGTTTTAAGGTTGGAGGTTTTAAAACCATAACGTTGTGGGATTTCAAAAATAACGTTAGAGGTTGTTAAAGATAGTGTTGTTGGTTTTGAAGTTAAGAGTGGCTGTAAAAATCAGCAAGATCAAATGTTGACAACAGACCAGAAGATTAATCTACAAACATGTGTTTGTAGGCCTGAAGTCTGATAAAACATTTGTTTGTATGCTAGAAGTCCGATCTACAAACACGTGTTTGGGCCTGGTGGAGATTTATACAATTGTAATATGAAAGTAATTTTTTTATGTTAAAAATAGTATGTAGGCTATTATTTTCACTTTTTATTTATTTACTTTTATTTTACTTTCAAATTTTACTTTCAAAATTTTACTTTTCAAATTGCTAACTTTTGTTTATTAACTTTTTGATATGATTAATTTTTATTTTTATTTTAATTTTTTTCCTTTTGTTTTGTTTACTTTAAGTTAAACACAGGTCGAAGCAAAAAGTATGGACGCTTGTTTACTATGTTGTGTTGTGAGCTGGATCGGAGGTTGTCATGTGACAGCTATAAATAGTCATAGAATATTTATGGCTAAATGGAAATAACTAACAACAAGGTTTTATTCTGCTTATGGTAGATGGCAGCAGCTAACGCCATATGTTTATTCTACTTATGGCTAAGTGAAAACGACTGGCAACATAGGTTTATTCTACTTATATTATTCTACGAATAGTAACACGTTTTTTTTTGTGGTTTTTTTTTTTTTACTTGTGGTGGTACTTGAATGGTTAACCATACTGCCAAAAAACAAATGACTAGATACCTGAGAACATTAGCCCTAACTTTAACCTCCCCTTTAATTTGATTCCTAACTCATAAGGAAACACATCAACGACGGCATCACTTTGTTAAGAACTGTTAAATATTTTTTAATAAATATTGTACTTTGAGTGTTTAATGCTTTGATAGAGTATATAATGTGGGTAAATATGACTAAATATATGGTTAATTTAAAGTAGCTCATTAAAGTAACAACAGCCACCAAACCTGCCTACTTAGAAAATATCATTAAAACATTGGAGTAAAACTTACTGACGAAATCTAATACTTGTAAACTAATAATTAAAAGAAAACATTTTAGCAGCACCATGAATGTAGATAAATCCTACATCTATGTAAATGGAATTTTTTTTAATATTTAGAAAATCAAATCCTTCAATATATAAAACAATATTAAAGTAAAACATGTATTGAAAACAAAAATAGAAACGTAAACATGGTGTTTATAATCTATTTATTTGTTTTTGACTGTACAAGACCTAACTTATATATTAAAATAAAAACAACAACATTGAAGCTAGCATCCACCAAACCTACCTTGGATATAAAACAACAGCAACATTAAAGCTAGCATCCACCAAACCTACCTTGGATATAAAACAACAGCAACATTAAAGCTAGCATCCGCCAAACCTACCTTGGATATAAAACAACAGCAACATTAAAGCTAGCATCCACCAAACCTACCTTGGATATAAAACAACAATGTTAAAGTTAACATCCACCAAACCTACTTGGATATAACAACAACAACAATAACATTAAAGCAAGCATCCACCAAACCTACCTTGAATTTAAAACAACAGCAACATTAAAGCTAACATTCACCAGTCGCATAAGCCAAGCCTAGCATTAAAAAATTAAGCCCGCGATTTGGTTCCGTAGTATTTTTTTTCAGGCGCTTCAAGTCACGTGACACCCGTCGGTAAAAGCGGCTTCCATCCACCGTCTGGAGGTACCGGGCAGACGACACGTGGACCTAACTGCCGGCAGAGGGCCGGCTCCCCCCGAGACAGGTACACCCGATCCGGCCCGGATCCGGCATTCCCCCGGCAAATAACCGTCTTGTCAACGCCCCGACAGCTCGTGGCCGTCTTCGAGACAAGGGTAAGTAGTTTTATGA